GAGGCGGCGGTGGTGGCGGCGGCTATGGGGGTGGCGATTCTCATCACGGAGGCGGTGGAAATGGAGGTTTCGATTCGTTTGGTGGAGGACATCACGGAGGAGGAGGCGGAGGATCCGCGCTTGGTCCTATTTATGGTCCTCCAGCACCTTCCTACGGTCCCCCGGCACCTTCCTACGGTCCCCCAGCACCTTCCTATGGTCCCCCTGCACCGTCTTATGGTCCACCTGCGCATGATCAACCTAAAGGAGTTTGGAAAAAAAAGCTCACTTGGAAAGCCGAATGGAAGCAGATTTGGAAAACAGAATCGAAATTGACGTGGAAGCAAGAATGGAAAAAGGTTCAGGTACCAATTTGGAAAGAAGTGCAAGTACCAGAATGGAAAGAAATTCAAGTACCAGCTTGGAAAAAGGTACAAAAGCCTGTTTGGAAGGAAATCCAAGTACCTATTTGGAAGGAGGTCCAGGTACCAGCTTGGAAAAAAGTTTGGAAGCCTATTTGGAAGGAAATTCAAGTACCAATTTGGAAGGAGGTTCAAGTACCAGATTGGAAGAAAATTTGGGTACCAGAGTGGGTAAAGATTGGTATTCCTGGCGAACAATACGTTGGTAAGGATCAACACGGTTGGCAGTATACCAGTCATGATCTCTGGAAAAAGAAACTTATTTGGAAGCCGGTCTGGAAGAAAATTTGGAGAACGGAGAAGAAGCAAGCTTGGGCTACGGACAAGAAGCTTGAATGGAAAGCTGAATGGAAGCAAATTTGGAAGACCGAAAAGAAACAAGTTTGGGTAACGGATAAGAAACTTGTATGGAAGGAAGAGTCCGTACAAGTTTGGATACCTAAAAAACAACAGATTTGGGTCACGCAAAAGAAGCAGGTGTGGAAGGATGAATGGAAAAGCAAATGGGTACCAGTTTGGAAGGATGTACAGGTACCAGCCTGGAAGAAGGTTTGGAAGCCCGTTTGGGAGAAAGTTTGGGTACAAATAGAATCCCATCATGACGAAGGCCATCATGGCTATAAATAATATATAACTTTAGCATAGTTTCTTGAAGATCTAAGTATAAGTTACTTGGTAGAGAGTTTCCTTCAAATTCGTAGAACGCGTTTGAAGTATAAATCTATTACTTTAGGTTCGACGGTTGATAATCCTTTGAAATTGTCCTATCGAGTGGAATAGAAAGTATTGTGTTACAGCCATCGTATGAAAGTAAGGAGGACAAAGAATATTTTGGGCTCGTATTATTGCGATTTCATTATTTTGTAGGTACCGAAATAATCACAAGTCCCTACCCCTTGTAAATAAGAAGATTAGAAGATTGCACGCGCATCGATACTTTTTGTACGTTTTGCATCTACTTTCATGTAATAAATATACTTTTCTAACACGTGTGCTCAATTGATTGAAATCCCCAATCGATCGATTTGAATATAAAGGAATAAAGAGAAATGAAATGAATCGATTGAACTTTGTAACATAATTGGTAGTCGCTTTTGAATTTGTTCGATGAAAGTATAGTTTTCTAGATGACGGTAAAGGATTACCAAGAGAAGAGAAGATGCTTTCTAAGGATATCGTGGGATAGGGAAGAGGAGCATATATGTAGATGTTAAAGTTGGCAGGGTCGCGAGACGAACTCACGACCTTTACTTTCTCCATGATCGTATTTGAACGAGTGTGGGATGATTAAGGAAGAAAAAATCTAACGGGAGAGAACGGGCAAGTCGGTGGGAGAACGGAAGTAGCACACAACCGGTTCATCTTCTTAATCTTCTTTCGAGTTGCGATGAATCAACGAACGCAAACATAATATTTGTTTGCGTAAACGCACCGAAGAAAGTGGACGGCGCTTTCAATTTGACAAAAAATGTAATTGATCACGTTGTCATCATTTCTAATGAATAAATTAAACGAACGATAGATAAGCAAATATAAAACCTAATTTAACTAGATGTATGACAACATTCCTCCTATCTTTTTGTAATTATTATTAATCACGGAAGACGTGAAACACCATCAATTCACTAGAGCTCTTACAACTTTCATTTTTATTCAAATTTATTCTTTTCCCTCTTTTTCTATTTACAAATTGTGTCGTTAATTATAAAGTTCGTTAAAAGTTCATCTATTTGAATTTATTGTATTTGTCTGCAGTGCAGTCAATGACGAGATTTTACATCTCTGGCATAAAGTAACTCAAAGGTACATAAATTATACAATAGAAAATACAAGTTGATTTATGAATGTCTATATTACTTACTACTTGAAGGTATTTCAATATGATTTACTAGCGGGAATATGATTTAAATCAATTTGCGAAGCCGAAAATAACGACACATATGTAAGAATAATATTTAGCGATTGCCGCGTACCTGTGTGTGGATAATAAATAGAGAAAGATGAGCATAGCGTGAACGATCTACCGTCAAAATATCTATAAATATTGAAAGAATATTTAAGGAATATTTCGAAGATCGTATTTCGAGTTTTGCGTTGCTTCGAATATCGCAGCGAGAGTATGACACTTGGGTTCGCGCATACAGCCAATTTAAAAGCTGTTTCCCCCACTGCGTTTACTATTATTGCTCCAACTCTTACCACCACTACATATACTTTCTCAAGATCTTTCTTTATATGACTTTCTATAGTTAAGAGTAGTGGTCGGACATTTGTCAAAGTTTTCCTTCTCTTCTTATCAAATTTAACTAGGCTATCTCTATCTTTATAGAGTTTGACATATCTGAATAATTATTTATTTATTAATATTTTAGAGCGTATTTTTAGTCGACTAGGCTAACCAATTACGTAGTTCTATCTATTAGAACTTTTGTTTTCTGCTATCGAAAGTCGTTGATGGTTTATGTGTGGTATGCCATAGCCCACGAAGACTTATATGAATACCCGTATTACTCAATAGAAAGCGAAACGTGGATGGATTCATGACCGGAACTTTGATGCTATGACCGTTTGTCACGGTGATCCGTTAGTAAGCTTTTGGAAATCGCTGAGGTAACAAGTATCAATACAAAATACATTTGAACAACGCCAGTTTCGATGTTGGCCAATTGTCGTAGGTTATGCAGAACGCGAATAGTCAAGGATTGTCTTTATAAAGTAAGACGAGACTGTGGCAAGGCCACTTTCACGTAAATATATACAGGCCAAAGAAGAGACGAGCATGTGCGCACGTTTCTTTCCTTTCCTCGGTTCTTTGTCCCTCTGATCTCTTCCATCCGGTTTTTTTTTCTTTTTACACAGTGGTTCTCAATTTTTAACTCGGCAAAATATGAAAATTTAAAATTGATATATCATTTTTGGAGAACAAAGTAGGATCTTGCAAAACTTATGTGCACTAGTCATCAACATTTATTAGACATATCTATGGGAAGATTTCACTTCGTAGGTCGCATCAACCATCGTAGGTCTTAATAAATTTCACTTTCGAGATGTGATACTAGCAAAGAACGTATCGGTACATCTTTATACCGGTTTCTACTTAAATACCAGTATATATGTTGTACTTGTAAGCGACTCTCGCTCGTTACATATAGCGGAAGCGCGTGCACCATTGGTATCTTAAAAAGGTCGAAAACCTGCTCGTCACGTTTGTTTTCTTCTTCTTGCTGCCGTATCGTGTCTCTACGTACTCCTTTTGGAATACGGCTTTGCGATTCAATAAAAATATACGTGTATATGTATTTTATATACCTTTCTCATCTGCAACTTTCCCGTGGACATGAGTAAAGGAGCGAAGGTTGAGGTAGAAGAGCATCGAACCATCTACGTGGGAAATTTCTTTACATATATACATATAGTAGATGCATGAAACAAACGAGAAAACGTAAATGAAAAGAATGACACAGAAAAATGTACTATTTTTGTAACCTTTGCAGTCTATGCTACTAGTTGTATCCTACTATCTTTTCAGTTATGGCAATGCACTTGTACTCGGTAACAATTCTTCTCGTAAATAGTACATTATACGTTAATAACTTCCACTATCTTTGAGAATACGTTCAGCTTCATAAAGTTGTCATAATGAGGAAAGTTAATGGTAGATAATTTAGACATTAACACGTCCAATGTTAATTTCGTATGAGCGTATAAACGTACAAACGTTTTCCCTTCTTCCATTTTTGACAAAATTTTTGTAAATACTATAGGTCGATGTAAAATAATTTTTTCATAGCACAAATGATTAGAATATAAGTAATGCGAATAAGGAGTCACGAATGGTGTCCGGTACGCAACGATAAAACGGTCGTGGTTCAATAGCGATGGGCTCTTACATCAATTGGCCACTTGCTCTTGTTACTTTCACTGAACAACTCTTCTTTTTATGCCGAAACGACCGGATGTTCGACTTTACACGGGTCCAAATACACACGTAGCCATAATCTCTATTTACCGTCGCGTTCGAATGTTTTGTCGAGGCCAAATACCAGAACGGAATTAGTCTAACTGCACATGATATAACAGTGCACTTAACGATCTTTCAAATTGCACATCAAGATAAATAATTATGAAGTATTACTAAGATCAAATCTAGTTCAGTAAGGAAAAATTGTTGTAATCGATAACGTAACACGATGATACTGTTTACACCTAAACGTTTGCACCATAGGAAGGATTCTTGATCGGGACGTGTCTCGAATTGATAATTAACATCGAATACTAACTATCTCATCGATTAGCCAACACGCTATTCTTTCGTGTTTATGGTAGTGAACCAGATTATAGTAGTCTTTCGACTATGTTACGAACTCGTTTTACTTTCCTAAGAAATAATTAGGAGTATTTCCCTTTTCCCTTCGACACGACCCAAATATCAAAGAAGACAAGTTTCGAGAGAACGTATTATATTACAGATATTTCAAAAGGGACCGAAAAAGAGAGATTTCGAAAGTGTTTCCTAGGTCCTGGGCCGAATCGTACGTCAAACAGACCCCTCAATTTGGAATTTCTAAAAAGACATACATACATATCTATCTCTATTTACCGTCACACCTTTGACATTTTTCAAATATTAGATAGATCGCTAGTGGAGAGGGGACATCATCGTTCTAAAAATAATATAAAAAAGAAAACCAATAATCGTATTTTTGCGCAATGAAATAATGGAAAGCGAGATCCATTCGCCTACGCATTACCTGGGTGGGTTAAAGACGTATTTCTTCTGGTCACAAAATTGCGGTATATTGTAAACGCAAATCTACTTGAATAATTCCTATTTCAAACTTTCCGGAAGTTTCTATATGGGTCATGGTGAAACGTTTCTCGGTATGCGGAGGATTGCTCTCGCGTATCTATCTAGCTTTGGAAATCTAGAGCGACCACGTAATCGTGGCAATTGATGAAACCGGTATAAGCCATCGATTGATATGTTGACAATTGTATTTTCGTTTCTTCCTTACTTTCCATTTTTTAACAATAATTGCTTCGCGACCACATCCGGGGAGTCATTTATGTTCTCTCAGTGAGCAATAAACTTGACCTATAGGAAAAGGAAAGTACATTTTTAATGACAATATCTTATGGATAAATACTAAATTAGAATTGTAAATTTATCGAGATAAGTATCGAATGTTGCACGTTTTCTTAGAAGGCAGTAAATCTCGAAGAAGAGTTTGGAACAAGAGTCGGAATAGCCTTGGCGTATAACCTTGCTCCGTGAACTTCGTCATGGTCGAAAGTACAATGGGTACTTGTCCGTGATCAAAGAAGCGAAGAAGTCGGTATACATGGCCCGTTAAGATTGGATCGTACGCTCAATCACTTTCTCCGAGCGATGAGGGCAAGCGGAGGGGAAGGAAGGAAGGAAGGAAGGAAAGAAGGATTACAGAAAAAAACAAATGGATAGATACAAAAAATTGAAAGCAGGTGGACTAAGAGAAAAGAAAAAAGCAAAAGAGGGGAGAGTTCGACTACCGCGACGATCAACACCAACACGAACATGGGCAGAGTCAGGTACACTTGCGGAATCAGGTATACTCGCTGTGTCCAGGACAGTGAGTATCTTTTTCTCCACCCAGGTAAATCCACCTCTACCTCCAGCTTACTTAACCAGCAGCCCCACCGCGTTTCCAATCGCCACAACTTTCTGCTTTGGCTCCTTCCTTCTGTCCTCAGGGGAGGATACGCGCCTATATAACTACGGCGTTCCACTGATTGAACGAAGTAAACCACGTTTTCCAGCGCCTAGGGAAGAAGAGAACGTAGCCCGAGTCCAACGGGCGGCACTCCAACAAATATGAGGATTCGCCCGGGATGCGCGGTCAGTTGGAACTAATTCTTTCTTCTTTATTCTCTATTTTATATTCTCTAACTTCTTCCTTTATCTCACCTTTTTCTGTCATTTTTATCTTGTCCTTTTTGTCCTAATGGACTTGAAAAGGGACTAATGAAAAGCCCCCACTTCGTCTAGTTTCAATATATTGTCATTAGAATCAAAATTATAACTTGCAATTCCAATTACTTCCAGTCTTGTTAGTGGAATCTATTTTCTACAAAGTGTGCTAAAGAGCGAAAGCGATTTTATGTTAAGAATTATGCTCGATCAATCGGTTGTCATTGATTATCGTGCGTCAGTGAATTTCGAAAGTTCTTTAGCATTCTTTAGAGTTCGATACTCTCTTTTGTAGTTGAAGTAGCCAAAGCTGTGACACAGAAGTGGATAGACCAATGTCTCATGGTGAAATTCTATAATTTTCTTGTAATTGCAACGTTTTCAGACTGCACTAGTAGTGCTACTGCAGATCGCTCTTGTGGCGGGCAAGGCTTTGGAGCAAATACAGCAAATACAACTACAAGTGCAACAGCAACAGCAACAGCAACAACAACAACAGCAGCAGCAGCAGCAACTGCAGCAAGTTCCGTACGTATATTTCTATACTTTCTCGTGTATCTAGAACAAGAACGAATAAATGAACACACAATTATTGTTATTATTATTGCAATAAATATTATTAATGGCTATAAATGTTGATACATGCACACATACGCAGGTACGGTACAGCGGCTGATAAACGATTGGGCGGTTGGAACGGAGATGCCGGAGGAGACTACGGTGGTGGTTTAGGTGTTGAAGATTACGGTGGAGGTTTCGGAGGTGGTGGCGATAACCTTGGTGGAGCCATCGAAGAACATCACGCGCAAGAGCATCACGACGATCATCACGATGATCATGGTTATTGGAAAAAGAAATTAATCTGGAAAATAGGCTGGAAAAAAATATGGAAACCGGCTCAAAAACAAATTTGGAAACCCGCGTGGAAAAAGATTTGGAAGCCTGTTTGGGAGCCAACGAAGAAGGCTGTTTGGAAGGATATTCAAGTACCAGCTTGGAAAAAAATTTGGAAGCCTGTCTGGAAAGAGATACAGGTGCCAGTGTGGAAAGAAATTCAGGTACCTGCTTGGAAAAAAATCTGGAAACCTATATGGGTGCCTATCAAAGTTCCAGCTTGGAAAGAAATTCAAGTACCCGAATGGAAGAAAATTTGGAAACCAGTGTGGAAGGAAATACAAGTGCCAGCTTGGAAAGAAATTCAAGTACCGGCTTGGAAGCAACTTTGGGTACCGGAATGGGTGAAAATTGGTATACCCGGTGAACATTATCACGGTAAGGACCATCAGGGCTGGGAATATACCAGTCACGATTTGTGGAAGAAAAAACTGATCTGGAAGCCGGTATGGAAAAAATATTGGAAACCGGCAAAGAAACAAATATGGATACCGGATAAGAAACTCGAGTGGAAGGAAGCTTGGAAGCAGATCTGGCGACCTGCTAAGAAACAAATCTGGGTTGACGACAAGAAGTTGGCGTGGAAAGAAGAATGGAAACAAATATGGAAACCAGATAAAAAGTTGATTTGGGTACCGGACAAGAAGTTGGAGTGGAAAGAAGCTTGGAAACAAATTTGGAAAACTGAGAAAAAACTCGAATGGATACCAGACAAAAAATTAGCTTGGAAAGAAGCGTGGAAGCAGATTTGGGTGCCGGCGTGGAAAGAAATTTGGGTGCCCGCGTGGAAGAAGATTTGGAAACCGGTATGGATATCGGAATGGTTCCCTAGCGAGGATCACCACCATCCTCATCATAATGAAGGATGGGCCGATCGAAAGGATGATCGAGAACAGAACACGCAAGTGGTTCCGCTAAATCCCGAGTTCGCAAGGAATCAAAATAAAGGGAATCAGCAACAGCTAGCCGAGGCAAACCAAGTTAGATGGACCCCTTCCATCCAAGGGGGTAGAAGGTCCTCATTAGCGGAAAACTTGCTACCACCGCCGGTTCCAACGTCTAATCAAAACGGCGCGTCTTCGAACTTTACCTTCCGCACTCGTTAATTCGCGTGAAGGAACTCTGCTACCTGTACAAACATTTCGCTGTAAGAGTACTGTAACATAAGTCCTTGTATATATTACCTTAGTAAGATTTAACCTAAGTTGAAGATATCCCGTTGAGGTACTAAGTCTTCCTCTTGTTATACGCTTCAGGGAATCTCATCGCTCTTATCATTTTCTACCAGTTTTCGTTTTTTATTATCGTTTTTTTTTTCTTACTTCTCTTGTTAATTAATGATGTTACAAATAAAGTTTATTAAATATTTTGTTAAGATCCTATCTTTGATCCATTTTACCAACGCACTCACTGTCTATATGATGCAACGGACACGCACTCGTGCCTTTGTCACTCGAGTGAAAGTATCGAAAACTTTGTTATGTCCGTACACAGTGTCCGTACTCTTGGTGAAAGTGTTCGGCACCCACGCTCCTCTTCTCTCCGACGAACCGTCCGTCCGTCCGTCCGTCCGTTTCTAAAGTTTAATCGTTGGTCAAGTAGAGGAGCTTACAACCGAGAAAGAGAGACACAAAAGACCGGGTTCAGTCGATCGCAATGTACCGATCGAAATGCAAAAAGAGAAAACAACTTGTACAGTTTAATTTTCACTTTCTTTGGCTTTCCTCATCGATCCATTACCAGATCTACCGTATTCAAAGAAATAATAAAAAATAAAAACGCATTAAATTCTCACATGCAACTTAAATGGAACTTATTCGGGGTTTTTTGTATTGCTAACTTTAACCGAATTATTTGATTATTAGCCGTTTTGCTCGTAGCTCAGCTTAATACGATAATTTGAACTATAACGATGTTTATTTAGGCATGCGAATTAGGCCCCATCATAAGTCGGTCATTCTACGAAATAGAATGACCTGTAATTTCGAGTTGCTGATTCGGCCGAATGAAATAGGCTTTTAGTCCACTGGGTTAAGCATTTTTTTATGCGCGTTTACACTGTCCACTTCAACAAAATTCTTCTTTCTTTCTGTACGCTTATACCGTAATCGAAAACTACAATTATTAGAAGTTTTAAATACGTGAAATATTTAGTTTCATTTGAATATTTAAAAGGAAAACAATGTGAAAAAAAGAATTAAAAGTAAATAATAACTAAATATGTAAATAAAGTTATTATCATACGTCGTATCGATTATTCGTACGTCTACGCACCTCGACGTGCCCGTCTATTTTTACATCAATAGAAATAACTCTATTTTTGAAGTATAAAAGATTAACATTTGTTAAGCGTTCAAAAAAATAAAAATCCATTCTCATATGCTGTTAAAATTTGAAATGTAGGAATAAACAAGATTTTTGTTATGAGATAATTCTTACATTACAAGAAACCATATTCGTCTAAGGTCGCGAGGATTACGTTGATAACATCTTAGCCATAAATTTGTTTGTATATTTTGTATACATAGGCATAATGTGATATTTCCTTTGACACTTATGAATATATAAGTCGTCAAGGAATTAAAATATCATCAGTGCTGACAAAGATGTTGTTAACGACGGTCTTTCTTATTTTCACGATTTTTTGCCTCTACTGCATCTACGATTGCCTTAAACCAAAATATTTTCCACCAGGTACGTTGAATCAATTAAACGTTTTATAATTTAAGAATATACAAAAATATCATTAGTAATACAGTAATAAAAGTGTATCAAAGAATATTTTTGTGTGTAAAATTTTGTTTTCTTTCTCTCTATCGAACGTACAATTTGAAAATAAAGTAACACGAATTTGTACATTTTGGCAGGTCCTACTTGGTTACCGATAATAGGATGTTTAGTGACTTTCAAACGATTACAATTTAAACACGGATTTGCGCATTTGGCGGTTAAAGAGTTGGAGAAATCGTACGGGCCAATCTTAGGATTGAAATTGGGATGGCAAAAAGTTGTTATTATTTCGACTTATGATTTAGTGAAGGAAGCTTTGCTTCGAGACGAATTTAACGGTCGACCAGAATCATTTTTCTTCAAAGTCCGTTCTTTTGGTAAAAAGAAAGGAGTACTGTTCACCGAGGGTCGAACATGGTCCCAATGTCGAAGATTTACGATGCGTCATCTACGAACATTTGGATTTGGTCAATCGATGATGACCACAAGATTGACCAAAGAAGTTGAATATCTCGTAGAGAATTTACGAAAACAATGCAAACACGGACCAGTACAGATGGACATTGCTTTTGACGTAGCCGTTATTAATGCACTATGGGCGATGTTAACCGGAAATAGATTCGAATACGACGATGAAAAGTCCACAGAAATACTAGAAAGTGTTCATACTTCTTTCAGGTGCTAAGATATTCTTTCAAGTACTATTTGATCAATTAAATACTAATTATATGTATATTATTTGTAAATGATAGGATAGCGGATACTATGGGTGGACTGTTATCTCATATGCCGTTTCTACGTTTCATCGCGCCGAAATTGTGCAATTACGACGAAACGATGAGAATTTTGAAGAAGCAATGGAAGTTCATCGATGATGAGATTGTCAAGCACGAGTTAGATTTGACGGATAAAGAACAGCCGCGAGACTTGATCGAAGCTTTTCTAATGGAAATAGCGTCTCGCAAAGAAAACAATCCCGATGAAGTGTTTGATCGTAAGTCCATACTTTTTCTTCCTCTACAAACTCTTATTCTTGATTCTTTAAAAAAAAAAAAAAAAAACTAATTCATAGGCGAGAATTTGGTGATCCTCTGTCTGGATCTTTTGCTTGCCGGAACCCAAACAACGAGCGACATGTTGGCTATTACCGTATTATTTTTATCATTGAATCCTCAATGGGTAAAGATACTTCAAGAGGAATTGGATAAGCAAACAGGTAGAACACGAGCACCAACGATCGAAGATTCTTCCTCATTACCAATGGTAGAAGCCTTTTTAGCAGAGGTAAATCACTTTGCTCTATCGTCGTTAATAAAATCAGGAAAGTTTTTAAGTAATTATTAACACAGGCACAAAGATACTTGATTATGGCACCTTTTGGGGTACCACACAAGACCACTGCGGACGTTGAATTTAATGGATATCGCATACCTAAGGTCAGATTTGGGTATATAACAAAGCTAATTTGAAACATGTTATCGCATAAGCTAGGACGTTGAAGATTTGTTTCTTTATTTTTAGAAAACTTTGATACTCTACGATTTTGTCAGCGTTAACAATGATCCAGTTTATTGGGATCATCCGGAAGAATTTCGTCCTCAACGTTTTCTCGACGAGAACGGTCAATTTCGTCAAAACAATTCCAACATACCTTTCGGATTAGGTGATTTCTCATTTAAAAGTATTTTTTTTTTTTTTTTTAATTTTCATTCCTTATCTAATCATATTGTATTGTATGAATTTTAGGAAAGAGACGTTGTCTCGGAGAATTACTTGCTCGTTCAACATATTTCTTATATTTCGTTTATTTTATATATTATTTCGATATTGATATCTCACCTGAGCATGGCGTACCGGATCCGAATGGTTACGATAGTTTCACTATATCACCGAAACCGTTCTACCTTAAGCTCTCGATGAGATCCGATATAAAGTAGGGAAATGCACGCCACGTGGCACATGCCACTGGTGATAGATTTGGACTTCTGCGAAATAGCTTGATTTCGTTGAACGCGTAAAACGATTTTTACGCGGTTGAAACAACAAACCGTATTCTAACGAAAATTTTCTTTCGAGAGTCAGCGTTGTACGGCAAACAAATGTGGCGTCGTTTAGCTTATACAGATTGCTTGATCTTGCGATTGAGTTTAACATATATATATATATATGTCTATTTCAAATAAATCCAATAATAATAATTATTATTATTAGTCATTACAGTAAAAAAGAGAAATGGAGGTGCACTCATTGAATTAAACCTTCCGTTTCATATCATTGAATTAATTTGATGTATAAATAAATAGATTTATAGGTATTAAAAATTAACAATAAGAAGTTTATTTATATAGTTATTATAACATAAAGATTTATCATTGTGGTACAACTAGTACCTCGTAAGGTTTTGGAGAAAGTGTTAATCCTGGAATTATTTCGATGACGTAAGGTCCTTTGTTCGGTACAGGAAGTAGCGTATACTTTTGCATAATACCAACGAACAGAAGAAAAATAACGGATTTTGCTAATTTCTCGCCAGGACATCGTCTGTTTCCTACAAAATAAAATCAACTAATTTAGAGCAGTGTTACAATGAATATGCAATTAGATTAGAATAGATGTAAAAATACATTTGTAGTTGTTACCTTTGCCAAAAAGCGTCAATTTGGAATCCATTTGAAATGTACCATCCTTTAGGAAACGTTCTGGTTTAAATTCGTGAGGATTCGGAAATGCATCCGGATCCATATGAACGCTGTATTGATTTATGAGAATAGTGGCATTTTTTGGTATGGTATACCCTTCGAAAACCGTTTCTTCATAAACTCGTCGTGGTCCAGATATTGGAATTATTCCGCAGATACGTTGAGCCTCGGTAATAACAGCCTCTACATAATTGAGCCTGCGACAATCAAGAATTTAGGCTGTTTCATTGGATCATTGTATAATAAATGAAAGAAGACCTACTTGGACTTATCTTCCACTTTTGGAAACTCGATCAATCCTATTTTAGAAGATATTTCTTCTTTGACTTTTTTTTGTACATCTTGATAAACGACCATGTGCAGAAGAAGAAAATCCAAGGTAGTCGCGGTGGTATTGATGCCAGCAATAAACAAATCCAACAGTACCAATAGCAACTGATCCTCTGGGAAAATAATGAATAGTTTGATAAACGTGGAATATACTTCGATAAGAAAGGAATATATAAGTTTGTTTTACCTGTAAAAATGGAATTGAATTGTTTCTCATAATACATTTCACGAAGGAACATATCGATCAAATCATTCTCTTCACCAGGGACATATTTCTCTTTGTGATCGTTTATCGTATCCTAAATAACCAAGAAATTGAAGAAAGTCATTAAGATTGTTTAACAAAATGGCTTAGACGAAGATACTATCCCAACATACTATTAATATTTGCTTCAATTCATCGTTGACTTTAAGGAGAAGATTGTAACCCGACATTTCTGGTGCAATGTAACGAATCCAAGGAAAATTAGACAGAGTTCCTCCGGAGGAATCGAAGGTACGAGTACGACGTTCCATTAGTTCGATAAAATATTTCAATCTATGTGTGTGCGTGCAAAGATAGAAATATATTTTCCTATATGAAATATTTCAACGACATATTAAACGAAGCATACGAATACAAACTGTTTGAACTCAGAAATTCGTTTTCCCGTTGCGAAAGTCCAAAGAACGTTAAGGACAGTTGGTGTGATAATTGGCTTCAATCGATGTATACCACCGTTCTTTAGACTTTCTATAATTATTACTATTTCATCCTGGATGAGCCTTGACATCTCTTGCTTGCCAAATCCAAGGGTTTTTAGTATTTTGACTACCCACGTTCGTAACTCCTTCCATTCATCCCCATCGTTCATTGTAATTCCTACGCGCATTGTAATTTATATACAATAATTGATATAATAAATTTTAGTCGCGATAATATGAAAGAATTTTCATTATCTTCAGTTAAATGTTTTTTCCTATATATATATACATAGAAGTAAAGGATAATAAACAATCGTGAATTAATGTTGCAGTAAGTAATAAACGTCCACGTTACATAGATATAGTAAATATAGTTTTACCTTTTCGTATTCCCATATTACGTAACTTAATAAATTCGTTCCAAGGCCGACCGTCAAAGTTATGGTTACGTAGTAATTTGTGAACGGAGTTCACGCCAGAAACTACTATGATCTTTCGCGTACCTAGTCCCAACATTATTACATCGCTTTTGTATTTTTGAGCAAGCTTCCAAAATGCCACATGTTGACTACCATGCTTATGAGTTAATCTTCGCAAAAGAGATTGACTACCGATTAATGGCCAAGAAAATGGTCCTAAAAATTCATTGGCTTACATTTACGTAACATAAACATAACAACAATATTTTTCTAATATTATATTATAATATAGGGTAGATATTAAGCAAAAGTGAGCTTTTAATACGATCAATTAACGCAATCACACGATCAATTAATGCAACTACATTCTTATGCAGTTATTATGATATTGATGATTAATATTTATACCTGGTGGATATTTCTTCTGTTTCCGTCGTTGCATATACTCAAAAATTACTAACAAAATGGTTATTGTCCATAGTAATACACTGACATACATTTTGATGAAAGTACTTTTTTAATAATTTTAATCTATATTGAAATTATTAAAATTAACCTACGATTATGTTAATGAATATTGTTATTAAAAAAAAAAAGGACAAACCAGTAGTGAAAGTTTTATTAATTATATCACACTTTGACAAAATCTTAACTGGTTATTCAATTAAAGTACTTGGCTCTTTGCCCGTAAGTAACTATAATGGATGTCGGCCGGAGCTACAAGAAGTCTCTTAATTGGCCGTACTTCAGCGAACATATATATATATGGATGTCCACAGACACGTACGTTTAACTATTTCTTGTGTGTAAGTGTTGAGATATGTTGCTCATCGAACCCCGATAAACTAATAACATTGTCTATTTGTAATAGTGGAAATTTTGAAGGTCAAGGTAATTTTCATTATTTTACAATAATAATCAATTGCAATTAATTTTTAAAGAGATACGGAATAAGTTCGTAAGATCCTCGAGGAACAAGGTCATTTAATTATCATTAAATTAGTAATAATTAGAGTCAAAGTTCATTAAATATTGACTTAAGCGGAACACCAAAAGAAAAGTAGATATCATAAATTTTAATGGCGTAGCAAGTAGACACGCATCCACGTGTATAATCGATATAAGTGCTACACGAATTTCCATTTCTAGATAAGATAAAATCATATCTATTTCCTAATATAAACTTTCAAATAGGTTACACAATAGTATTTAAAAATTTGTACCAAATATATTTACTGCTTTAGATAAATATGTTACATATTTACAAAATGAAATTAAAAAAATCAAAAAAATCAAAAAAACAAGAATATACAATAGACGACGAGAAGGTGTATCAATTGGTAATCGATGTACACCTAATACATTAACGTGATAATTAAAAATTATCCAAATCGATTTCTTTCTTCGGCCGTTTCCTGGAAATATTTTTACCTCTTGCGTTATCTAACTTTCTCTTTTTACTTTCTTTCTTTTTCTGTTGTCTCGCAATTTTACGTTTCGCCGCTAATTCCGGGTCCGTCACAAACTGCAATTATAAATACGGTTTAGTAGGAGGAAAGTCTAACAAACATTTGACTTATTAAAATTAATTTACCTGTTGCTTCCGTATCTTTCGCCGTTCTGTTTTCTTACTATTTAGCTTTTGTTGCACGTTACTGAGCAATCTCGCATATTCTTCGACACCTATTTGTTTTTTAATCGTGTTGGCTACCTCCTTTGCCAATTGACGCAAAGGAGCATTCGATTCTTCGATCGTTGACATTTCTCTTACCAACGGAGACATTAAATTAAAAAGAATTCCATTCAATTGTTCGATTGGTATAGTAACCACTACACCGGCAATCCATTTGAATACTGCACTTCTCTGAAAATAATTGTTCTTTATGCATTTCTAACTGAGGTCATAAAGTTTAGGCAATATTATTGTTCAATCAAATACTTACCACCGATATCGATTTAGGTGCTTGAACTATTTCTATATTTAAACTCTTTCTCAATCTTCTCATTAGCCAATTAAGAGACAGGATGTTATCATCTTTACCCTTATTGTTGTCGTTGTTTTCTGAATTCTTAAGTGATTTCAAAATCTTTGCAATAAAGATTAAGTTTTTAATTACTTGATCGGATAGTTCTTCAAACGTCGTATCTGGTTGAAGTTGCGCAATCAAATCCAAAGATAAACTCCTTAACGTATCGACTGGATTAGAATAAATATAACTATCTATTGTCGAGTGTTTATCGGGATTTTGCAAAAGTTCTACAATTTTGTCCACATCGAGAACAGAGAGTACAAAACCGATCAACTGCGCGGCTCCTAAACGAACCCACAAATGTGGATGTGCCAACAATGATTGACTGTACTCTAAATAAAAACAAAATTAATTATATATCGAGAAAAATGAATTATGTTCATGGAATTCATTTGGAATTAATGAATTACTACCAACCGGCAAAAGATGATATTTCTCGATCGTATTTTCTATTTTTTAGAAAACCTGGACAATAAGCCGACAATTTCAATAATAATTGCAACACTTGATACAAGTGATGATCCTTTAATCGTTCTGGATCTTTTATATTGGAATTTTTCCGAAGCTTTTTATTTGTTTTTTCTTCCGAATGTAATCTTACAAAATAACCAGGTTGTATTTTATTGAGCTCATAAATATTTTCGTTAAACTGTTGTAATAAAATAGATAAAATATTTACGAGGCGTGACTCAAAATTTGCCTTTTCAACCTCGACAAATATACCACATAACTGTACAGCTAATCTTCGATGAATCATCTAGTGGAAAAACAATCATTATCTTTTGTTTTTTTTTCTTTTTAAAATTACATTGAAATTATATTGAAATTAGATGAAAAAAATACTTGAGAGTCTTTCAGCCAGACAAATACAATATCAAACAGTTTATCTTTCTCGTTGTGACCTAGTCGTTTTAACATTTCCTTAATGCACTTTGCACAGAGTTTTCGACATACTGGATCGTCATCGTTTACCAATCTGGCACCAGTATTCAAAAATATCAGTCCTGAGTATTTAATAAGCGATTTCTGAAAGAACAAATTTACAAATATTATATAAACTCAATAATAACTACAAAAATAAGTAATTATCAAATGAAAAACTTACCAATGGAAATCCTGTAATAATGCTATGAATCATTTCTAACGCACTGATACGACCGTATTGCATTTCGTATTCCAATTGTAATAAATAAAATGTTATGTGATTGTCGAGACGTTTCTTAAGAGGATATTCCATGAGATAGGAGTAAAATACGGTTCTCGATTGTAATCTGACATGTTCCAATTCCGATGTGATACTCAATGTAGCTACTTTTTTCATAATTTCATCCATTTCCGGTGCTGTCAACTTTCTTTTGATTATAGCTTTTAGCAATCCATAGGCTGTTGCTTGTTTATCGCTATCGTGCAGATCTTGTTCGGCGTATAAAAGCAAAATCTTTAATTGTTCAGCATTAATTGTAAAATGCTTCACATCGCGAACTAGTACTGACATGCATTTGAAAGCTGCCATTACGAGATCAAAATTATCTCCCTTGCTTAAACCAGCTGCTGCATACTTGTGTAAAATGTCGAAGATGCAAGAACAAATGTCACTTACTGATTCGCGAACAGATACTAAATCCATCTTAAGTATCCAATTTAAGCATTGCAACGTTAGAGTGCACAACTGTAAAACGTAGAAAAAAAAGATGAGAAAAATGAACATTCATTTCATTCATATAATACAATAAGTATAATAATATAGCTATATATATATGTATATATAATTTTTACTTTAACGTGTTGGGACTTCAAACAGTTACTTAAAACCGATACAAGGGGCTCCAAATAGGGCTTAAATTCCTCATCGGATATTTTATCTCTTTTTAGAAATATATGATACAACTTTAAACCAAATTCAATCATCACGTGACAATTCGTATTCGATGTTGTTTTCGACGCGGCTTTTATTCCCATTCTATTTTTTGGTTCAGCAGGTATTAACAAACAATCTGGCTTTTGCCTCTGCAATACTTCTGCTTGTTTTTCCGTTAATTTTTCTTGTTTCCTTTTTGCCAATAATTCTGGAATACTTTCCGACACAACTCCGTACAAAAATATAAGCATTTTGTCCAACGGTATAAAAGTATTATCTGCTAAACCAAGGGAAACATTTTTCAAACATTCCACAACCTTTTGCAACATCTTATGCGAATGCGTTCTTACGAGAACATTTTTTAATGGCATTATCAAATCGATCAAGCAAGTTTCTGTTATACATTCTGCCAATATGTGAAATATGTCATAACTTTTCGTTGCTTTAGCTTCTGAAATATGTTTGGTAATACCAATTACTTCCTTTTCTTCGGCAGTTAATCCGAACAGATCGATTTCACAAACCTATATTATTAATAAAATTAATAGAAATTTGTTTCTACGAAATAGCGTACGAATTATAGAAAAGTTGAACCTACCGATAAAATACTCTGCAAGTTTCTATTGATATCAAATTTCGTAAATTGTGGCTTCAAAACAGTTAATACAGACTGAATCGTATACGCGAGAACGTGAACTTGGAAACCTTTTGTTAAAAGACTATTTAATTCTTTTAAAAGATGATGAAGATACTTTGGTCCTAAAGTAATCATTATGTTTTGCAACACTTCACGAGTAATTCTTCTTACAGATTCTAGGCGAGATTTCAAGTAAGTACAGAGCTTCATGAAGATGCTAAAAGGAAAGAAAAGGAAAGGAAAGGAAAGAAAAGAAAAGAAAAATAAATAAAGAAGAAAGAGAAAATTAATAAGGTATAAAGAGACCTGTACTTACCCCGGCAGATGGGACTCCAAAATATCTTCTGGAAGCTTTTGCAATAACTTAACTAATGCCAATGCAATAGGAACTCTCGATAAATCCTCTTCCTCGGTATCGGCTATTACTTTTCTCTTATTAATCTTGTGCGTACTATCTTGATGAGTCCTTGCTGTGATAGAACGATACAATTGTGGTAATAATCTTTTTGATATACTAAATATAACTCGTTTTGCTCCATATTGCGATAAAATTATTTGTCTTTGCAATAATGGCAAATCTGCCTGTTGCAGTTTTTCATCGTTGTCTTCTATATCAGGAATATTTTCATTATTCAATTCCATGTCCAGTTTTTCTTCCGTGTCTTCTTCATTTTCATTTTCATTTTCATTTTCATTTTCATTTTCATTATCATTCAGTTCATTTTCATCGGTAGACAAGGTTGATTCCTTTTGGGAAATTTTCTCCAAAGATTTGTATTTCGAAAGATCGTAATGAAAAGAATCCAGTATTGTGACAATTAATCGAATAACTTGTTTTTGAAATTGAACATTTTTTTTCAATGCATTTAAATAATATTTCAATATGATTTCGTAATGATACCAAGGTAGAAGTTTGCAAACGGTACCAACTGTTTCAATAGCTGCATCTATCATGTTGTTTTTATTTAAGTAAGTTTCGTTACACAAATAGGTTGAAGCAAGTGGAAGAATAAATTGCGTGAGCGTTTTTGGATTTGGTCGTTTGGTCAACGTCTTAGATACGTTACAGAATTTCAACAATGCGCGAGCTCTTCTATGCATTTGCAAATGTTGCATGTTTTCGAAAAAGTCTACTTCGGGATCTGCTTTATTGCACAACACTGATAAGTCGCGTAAAATAGAATGTACTTCGGGACATTCTAACGACATGTGTCCTAAAAAGCTGATCGATTGGAAGCACAACACCTCGGACTTACTGTTTATTCCTTTCTTTATAAGTTGTAAAATTGTTTCGTCCATTAAATAACGTCTATCTGGTGGATTATCTTTGTATTTTCTTGCCAAATTAGGACCAATAGTCTTAAGGCACTGACCAGCATAATCTTTAATGGCTAAATCCGAATCATGTTTTAAAAAGTAGTAACAATTGTAAATAATAGACACGCCACAATTTAAAGTCATCTCATTCGACTCGATTAAATGATTAATATTGCTAAAGGTGTCCAGTCGTTTTTGAAAGTCAGGTTGTTCAATCCATTTGCGATCCCACGCATTGAGTCCCAATAATAAGTTATAATTTAGTTTGATCAATGGTTGATTTTCCTTGGCAGATCTTGCAGCAATAATGTCGTACAATTGTATTAAAAGTTTGCGAGCAGGTACCGATGATATCGTAGCAAGTAGGGGTGCGAGAGCTCTAACATGAATTTCCGGTGATTTCACGTGTTTTATGAGATTCGTAACGGTCGTTAGAAATTCTATAATAATGTCTTCACTTTCACACATTGCCGCTTTTTTGATTAATATTGGTAAAATAAGTAGCAATAATGTATCACACGTATCGGGATCTTTTGCAAACTCAGAAATACGCGATAGAATAGTTAATTCAGTTTTGTTCATACCTCTGTTAAAGTTGTTCAGCTTTTTCTTCATGTATTCTAAAATATCATCAACGTGTGGAAGTAAAATAACGGATCCATAATTAATACCCTCCGATAAAAGTTTATCATTCAAAGGGAGTAAATTTGTAAGGACAGACTCTAATGGTTGAACAGGCGTATCTACATCCATACGATCCGGATCTGAATTCCTTTTACCGTAATCCTCCATTGTTAGCATTTTTTCAATCATTTCCAAAATTGCATTAATTACGGAGGGATGCGTTTTCGTTCCCAATAAAAGTTTCATAACGTATGGAAGAACCGTAATATCAATATTGTTCTCCTGATGTCTTACGAACAGTGGATAATAACGAGAATTTTGACTCCAAGATATAAATAATTTTAACAAAGCTGTAGGACTATGAATTCCTTCCACGGGTAATTTTTCCAACCAAGGAAATACTATGACATTTAAAACGGCATCTAATTCGTGCTTTTTCCATTGATAATCTTCAAAATGAGAAAAGAATCTTGCCATTATAGCGATACAACTAGTTTTAATAGTTTTGATGCTCGATAAATAACCAGAGTGAACTTGATCCGATCTTTGTAAAATTCCTTTGACTTTAGCACTAATGCACATCAGTATACCAAGTAAATAGGGTAAAAGTTTACTCGTCATTTTCGCTCCAAATTGTTCAATCATAATTCCTAATAAATTCACAGCACTCTGTAAACGTTTTGGTGGAATGACGTTATTTAGATCAATAGTATCTACGATATTCTCCATTAATACATTTAAATCGACATTCGCGTTTGTAGAAAATGATAAATATCTGCGAAAAGGTTTAAAGGCCATTTCAACGAACATGATCATTTCATCTTCTCGAGAGCCAGCAAGAAAACGCAATATTATTTTACGCTTTAAAAATCCACCAGCCTTACCACCAGTTCGCATTCCAGTTTTCATGATCATTTTTGCATAAACTATTCTCATCAATACAGGCATAAGACCGTCGCGATCTTCGTCCAATATAAATTTGCTTTCCGTGTCGACGTTAAAACGTGCGAGTTCATTTTTAAAATTCTTTTCGCTAATTAAATTAAACAAATGATCTTTGTACGGTAAAAGATATTTATACTTGTATGTGCAAAGGCAATTTAAAGCGGCCTTTTGTATTTCCGGATTTTTCGAAGAAAGCAAATCCAAATATATTTTATGCATTTCTACTTCCCTATACAATACATTAGGATTGCTCATGTTTCCGTATATCTCCATTTGCGCGAGTAATAATTTTACTTTGTATATTCTATCTTGTGCAGGTAATTTAGTATTGTCTACTTTTACAGACACGTCTTTTTCGGTTGCTTCATCGTCCTTGTCATCATCTTTGTCATCGTCGTTATCATCTTCCTCGTTCATGTTATCATTTGTATTAGATGCATTGTCATATTTCTTAATGCTACAAACTTTAGCATCTTCGGAATTCAATTTGAAAAAGTTCATATTTACAAATTCGATAAAAATACTAGTTAAATCTCTATTTTTCATTTCACAATAGTTAACAAAATTAGACATGCACTTCCAAAGAAGAATTTGATAATTATTATTATCTGGTTTATCATCTACTTTATATATTTCTAACTTCAAACTTTCAATAATGTCACATCGATATATATCCTGATACATCTTATTAGTTTCACTTGCATCTTTTAATTCGGAAAGAAATACTGGCCAAAATTGAGTACAAGCTTTGGTGGCGTAGCTTGCTATTATATTATTTACCGGATCCCATAATAATGAAAAATTAATATACAAATTGCCTAATAAATATCTAAGAGGAATTTCATAATACTTTGGGTCTAAATTAGTTATAGCATTATTGTCAAACGTTAAACTCTGTAAATGTAACAACTTATCTCGATATTTTTGTATCGTCGGTGGCACACTTTCAGCTAAATAAATCAGATCCAGAGGATTTTTATCAATACTTTCTTTAGATAACATTATACCTTCGACGTTAGCAAATAATGAATATATATGTGTTACGACCAAACGAATTAAATGAATAGGCGAATTTAACTTTTTCACTATGCAACTGTGTAACGTATCAAAAAATACTTGATTGAACAATTTGTCGTGGTGGTACTGTGATCCATTGTAAAAAAATGTTAAATAGAGATCTACCGCATTGAGAATGAAAGGATCATCGCTGTGTTTTTCTAACACGTTCATTATCCGTATATCGTGCGTTTTGGTAAATGCATCAAATTCATCTTTTTCCGAAATATGAATCATTGTATCGAGCAACAACAAAAATATAAAATTAATCCTCTTAAGTTTCATATTATTTGCCGAATTTTCCGTATTTTCGTAATGCAGTATTTCATTGTAAACTATTAGAAATTGTTTCCTTATCGAACCTTTAACATCCTCGGGAAGAAATGTAAAATGTGGTACGATCATTATTATCCAAAAAACATCTAATGACGTAGAATTCGTTAGGCCGTTCAATTCTGTCAAGAAATAATCTATGCTTTCCTCCGACATATTTTTAATATCTAGGTTGAATTTCTTCCATTTGTTCAACGTTAGACCCCAAAGGCAAGGAGGTGCTTTTTGTTTTATTATTTTACCCAGTAACTTTACTTCTTCAGATTGTATTCCAATGGTATTACATCGTTTAAACAAATGTGGTAATACCAGAGACTCGAATGACGAATAATGTATCAATTTTTCAATAGAAATGTATAATAATTCGACATTATTTATAGACATTATTTTAACAAGTATATTACAAGAGGTTTCTTGAGTCAATTTAATGTCAGATAGAAGAATATTTATTAGCGCATTGATTATCTCTGATAAAACATTATTTATTTGAAAATCGTCCATCATAATCATCAGTTTTTTAATCAAAGGTGCAGAATTGTTGAGGAATCTTCCATTTTTATACTTGAGAGCAATATTTATGAGACATAAAATAAGCTCTAGGTGATTTTTTCTTCCCAATAAAACAACATCCTTGGTTGTTGTGTCTAACATTTTAAGAAAAGTGTTCCAAAGTACATCGCATTTGGTATAATGTATATTCTCTAGAATACAACTAACCACTTGTTTTACAATTGTATATGCGAGATCTTGGTTTATAGATTCATCTTTTAGAGAATGAAAGTAAATCAATAGCATTTGTTCTGCACAAGAATGAAATTGACCTGGCGTCCCAGATATAACTTCGAACATTAATTTTCCACAGCCAATAGCACCACGTTCATTATTCTCCATAAGTTTCAACAACAATTTGATAAATTCTTCCTTGTCTTTAACTTTTCGTACGACAAATGCAAAACTTTCAGCAGCAAAATTGTTAATATAATATGGTTGTGTATCATTGAAAAGTGGCAACAATAAATCCAAAACGGTTTTCACATTTTTCACTAAATATCGCCATAGAAATTTGAATAAATAGGCAAGAGCTACGAATGCATATTCTATTTGTTCGGAGTTTTTTGTTTTCAATAAACTGACTATGACATTTAAGAATTCTGAAAAATACTCGTAAAAATCTTTTTGTAGATCTTTTGCTAAAGCTACTACCAACCTGTAATATGTTATACGTTATTATTTAATTATCGTTAATAATAATATATGAACGTTGATAAATTAAGATTGAAATTTGACAATACTCACTCAAGTATAGGTTGCAAAAATAAAACATCTTGCTTTCTTAGATATTCCAAAAGTAAATCAACTACAAACTGCTTCTTATTTAACAATTGAGGAAGAGTAACAATGTCATGTACTTGTCTTTTAAAGCTACAATAACCCTCTGTTAAATTTAGAAAATTCCATTTTTTCAATGTTTCATGAAAATACGTTTCAATCTCCTCGTCGTCATCTTCCTCATTTTTGTGTACAACGCGATGAAAAATATCAATGTCTATTTCATTTACCCGTTCGGAAAATTTTTTAAACTGTAGAACAAAATTGTATGATTTGTCAAATGTTCAATTACAAAGAAGATGATATTTAACAGTCATGTAATTACAGTACCTGAAAAGTATTTTTTTCCTTGTGTCGCAACGGCTTATTCTTCATTTTGATATAGTATTCCAAATTTGCACCTAATTAACAAGTTTATTTATACAAGTAATATTACAAATGGAACACGTGGTACAAACCACGAGATACAACGAGTTTATCACGTTGAAAACACAGCCGGAAGCAATTAAGAATCGTTCTTATTTACACAGGGAAGCAAGGAAACTTAAGAGAAGCGAACTCTTCTAAGAAAAGATTCTACGTAGAAGCGCTCTCTACTGAATTAGAAAGAACCATTCTTCAGGCGTACACGTGGCGGCAATTTACAAAATACTTTAAACGACAAGTGTGTGCCAATCACACAAGTTAGAAATGAAACCTTCACAAAAGCAAGGAGTTTCGAGGGAATGAAACGAGTGTTTCGTATCAGGACTAGGATTATTTATTATACAATATTTTTATAATTATTTATTTAATAATTATATAAAAATGTGCGCCTGTAGGAATGCAACACCCTCCAGAAACACTTTGAAAATGTTGCTTGTGAGCGTCACCTGTTGGGACGAAATTTTGTTCTGCCCGAACGAAAGATAAGCAACTCGTCATACACACGTGTATGAACAATTTGGAGTTCAAACCCTCAAGTTTGTCTCGAGGGTTGCAGTCCTACAGGCGTAATGTTTTTATAAATAATTATAAAAATTTAACTTGAATTTTGTTATTAATACGTTGCTATTCAATAATTATCGTTGATATATCTTCACGAAAATAATGTTTCCTCGTATGTTTCCTCGTCTATGTCTAACAAGCAAGATTTTTATTATAACATTTAGTCTATTATGCAACAATTTGTATAATCACTCTTTAACGTGAGATGAATTAATTTATAAAAATTTTCTCAAAACGGATAAATACCCCATAGATGTCTTCAGTATCTGCAAGGACAATTGATAAATAATTGAAATGAATGTATAAAAGATAGTTTGTCAGTAAATTTAAATGCTCACATCTGTAAAAGTGTACAATGACAAGGCGCGAAATTTGGCAGACGTCAGTTGGTGGGGTTTTCTCGTGCGCATCAAACAAATGTAAATTAATTTGAAATTTGTCGTTAACGTCTCGTACCATTTAATATTGTAAAACGCTTCGTTCAAGTTCATGCTCTACGTTAACAAAATATCATCAAACTTGATTACATTGCGAATAACTTAGCGTTTTGATAGATCAAATGACTTTCGAATCAAATTACTTCCTGAATAAGACATTCCCCGATGTAGCAATATACGAATAATGTACTCGATAACCCACAAGCATGTATTACAAAAATAATAACTTGATCATCTTCCTTGTTGGCCAAAGACTTGAAAAGAGAAGGATAAAGAAATGATTGAAACTGTTTCTGTTTGAAAGAAAAAAAGAAAGAAAAAAGTATATAGTATCATCGTATATTTATTTAATCGATATACCACGAGCATCTGATAGCCGGTCAAACAAAGCTGAAACGTAGTCGCTAATAATTGTTGAAAAATAATTGCAGTAAAATTATCTTCCAATGTTTCTGCCAATCTGAAATGCGTTGAGTATACTTCCGAAATGATACTTACAATTATTAAATAAGTAAATAGTCGCGATTCTCGTTAAAAACAATTCAAAGGACTTTCATTTCACTGAGACTTGGCGTCAAAAGAAAAAGCTAATTTTCCAAATATTTATCATCAAGTTTTTCTCCATTTATTGGCACTTTAATAAGCCTCTCAAATTCTTACCTGATGAGACGACAATGTTCAATGATTACTTTCCTTATACCTCGTTCTCTATCCTTTAAACTTTCCTCAATTCTGTGTTTCAGTATCGCAAATTGGGCAGTTATGTGAATGGCCAAACTAGCGAAAAGACAATCAACCCCAACGTAAGCAGAAATGATGAGAGGAATGGACAGGCTCTGATATATACATCCAAGAAAGAAACTCATCGAATCTTTTGGCTTTATGAGCGGTCTTATTTTATAAGGTAACTGATACTCCAAAGTCGAATTAGACATAACTAAAATAAATGATAATTATATCGTATAATGATTAAATATTAATGATCGATCGTGTGTAAAACGTTACCCGATAGCACAGACGTTAAAGCTTCTCTAGTGAAATACGTGACGAGGACTAGAGTCATCGATGGTACAGTTATCGTGATAAATCTATACGATAATTTGTTGTAACTATTAAATATCGATCTCTCCTTCGTATTTCGATAATTTTCATCGGAATAATCTTGTTGAATTTCTTTCATAAACCGAGCCAATGGTCGGCTATTTATTCTGCAAGTGATCATCTTTATAAGAGTAGTTGACATTAATGTATTTTCTTCAAGGTTCTTGATAACGTAATCGAAATCCAACAAATGATCGAACAGATCGAGAAAACTCGTAGACACGATGAGACATCCGTAGATGAGATATATTAAAAATATCGAATCGCGTACTTGCAAGGGCCAAATACCCGAGATACGAAGCAATCGTTCGTTCCATGTTAACACCTTGATGGCATATGAAGATTCAATAACCTGCAACGCGACAAACAACTTTCTAAAGCTACTACTTCTTAGTAGAAAACTAATTTTAAAAATGTGGAAAATTGTGCCTCTACTTTTCCGTCATTTTCCATTTGATTCGCGCGAAAGTTGTCGAGAAACTGGCCCTTGAACCGTCGATCAACTCTAGAGGAAAACTTTGACGTTCGTAGCAGAAAAAAAAGTCATGCAAGTTTTGGTAAGAAAAATTGATAGGTTTGCTAGACGACGAGCCTCTAATAATGGATTACAACACAATTGAATGGTATAGAATACCACATGAATGATACAGTTATCTATCCTTTCTTTCTTACTTTTTTTTTCTTTCTTTTTCTTCTCTAGCCTATCGACCATGCAATTTCCCTTAATCAAGTACTTAATACGTCTTTGATAAAAAAAAAAAAAATAATGGCTCTACAATTATATCAACCCTTTTCTTATTACCCTATAATTTAGTTGACAAGTTCTTACGTTCGGAACTAACGAAGAAAATAGGAAAAAAACTTTGGAAACCGTGAAGATGTACAATTTTTGTTTTTTTCCAAGTACTTTTGAACATTTTTACTTGTTCTCGTCGAAGAAAAGGTCGCAGTTATTTTAAAAACAAATACCAATTCCTATCAGTGAAACGGTGAATTTTCCTTCGATAATATAATAATGAAAAAGAGAAATTTGTGTATTAACAACATATTACGACATTATAATTTTTAATCAACTTAATCTAACATGAATAGCACAAATTTGTATATGAGTTATAGCAATGTTCGTAACACCGACAGGTATCCCACTGAAGTTTTTAATATCTAGAAAAGTGAAAAAAGAATGAAAGCCCGTATAAAAGTAACAAGATAAGTGGTAGAAAAGGTACTTACATCGGTGAAAGTGTATAAAGATAAGACGAAAAATTTTCCAGAAGTTAATTGCAGAGGTCTGTTTGCTCGAATCATACAAATTAAAACCATTTTTAAATCAATCGGAGATATGTTATACCATTCATACTCGTATAAAGCCATGGCAAAATTAGTGCTCTAAATGAATGAACATTTGATCAATTTTAAATACATTTTGTAATAAATACTATTCACGTTTATATTAATTACTTCTTGAATGATACATTCTCCGATATAGCAATAGACGAACAACGTGCTCAGGATAATACTTGAGAATACAACAAACAGAAAAAGTTCGAGAATTTGACCACTGGATGAACGCTGAAATAATTCATTGCAAGAGTTTATTATTGTTTCGTATATTGTTGTTGTCGTTGTTGTTGTTGTTGTTGTTGTTGTTGTTGTTGTTGTTAATAAATAAAGCTTACTAGTATCGTATTATAACCAGAAATACACAAATTAAAAGTCGTTCCTATGAGATGTTCCAGAATTGCCAGATTAAAAGCATCCTCCAGGATATCTACCAAGCTGCGAAAAAAATTCAAGACATTTGATGAACAACGCCAAGAAATATCGAGGACAAGTTTACCTTATTAATCGATAATGTTTATTAATCAATTTTTTCATTCCGATTTGGCAACCATTAGGATCTTCCAAAGCTGATTTAACTCTGCTTTTTAGTAAGCACAATTGTGCAGTTACGTGAAGAGACAATGTAATGAAGAAACAATCGAAACCAACGGAACCAAAGGTAATCAATGGTAATACAATAACTTGATATAAACAATTAAGAACATAGGTAGTAGTGCCATTGATTTCTATGATAGGCCTGGTCCTATAAGGCAGCTGATAACCAAAAGACGAATTATCGGCAACTGCAAAAAATGCCGTTCGTCACATTTGCAGATCTTTTTAAATGATCAAGTGAAGCGTTGAAAATATAAATGTTCCAAATAATTACACATTTGCACGTTTGTTATCAATGACAGGGAGAAATAAATTATCGAAATAAAACCCATAGAGGATAATGCAGCTACGGTGAATAGAAAAGATAATCTATTGTAATTGAAAAATATCAACATTTCTTGCCGATTCTTGTAATTGTCAATTTTAAAATCATCTCTTATGTTTATCAAAAACTGCGCCAACGAATCTTTGTGCAGTCTGCAAATAGTGATTTTGATGAGAGTATTTAGCATAACCAAGTTTTCCGTAACGTTTGCAACGACAAGATCAAAGTTCTTCGAGTAATTAGTTAAATCCATGACTCCTAGGGTACAATGAATAAACAAGTATACAAATGAAAAAAGGAATATCGGATCGCGAACGTTCAAAGGCCATATTCCCACGACATCAAGGCATTTTCTATTCCATGTTAACACTTTTACAGTATCGGAAAGCTGTTCGAAATTCGCTATCTGAAATCAAACAATTGTTACTTTATATACGAACAAAACTTTCAAGCAAAACCATCAAGTTCCTTATTATTTCCTACTTCGATGTCCACTTTCATTTTATTCTCGCTAATGGTTACGATAGACTGACCATAAAATTGACCAATTCATTCCTAAGCCTAAACTTTTTTCCTTGTCACGATCCTTTTAATACTTTATTCGAAATACTTCTCCCTCATATTAACGAGCCAGCCGTTGCTAAAAAAAACTCATCAGTTTGTTGCTCTCTTCTTGCGAGAGCGTAAGTTAATTATCCATCAAGTTGTTGAAAAGTGACTGTTTAACTACTTTTTATTCTCGACATAACTTGCCAACTTGAAAATCGATGCGTGGATTAAAGTTTGAAAAATGCACAACCTCTCCGACAACAATTTTCACATAATGTTCGCATTTACGTCCCATAGCGGATCTAGTTGTAAGGTATTAGTTGCTTATCGAGTCGAGTCCTTAAAAACAAAACCAATTCATTTATTCATTTATTTATAAACATTAGGATAGAGAATATCTGTACTATGTACAATATGTTTTTTATATAAGTACGTTTTCGGGAATGTTAAGGTTTCTCCGAAATAACATACACAGACGTATTGAAAGATATATATATATATAATATAGAAAAGATATAATTCTAATGCAAATTGCTTGAATTCCGATCGATCGAAAATATATTTCAATTGTTAACAAATATTTGATCGAATGAAAGTTTACTCTTTGACGTAATTAAAATTACCGTCGACTCGACGAGTACGTATTAAAAAAAGATTAATGTGTTTTTTTTTTTTTTTTCTATCGTGGTACATATATTCTCATGAAAATATTTCTATATATTTGTATTACTTAAAAGTACCACGGTAAAATGTTTCGATAAATATTCATCGCATTTCAATTAACAATTCCAAGTAAATAAGATTATGTGGAGACTCAAGAGAATGTACAATTCGTTGTGTCTTTAGATTGAAAGTTCCACAGGCCAGACTATCAAAGTGAACACATAGAGATTCGTATAAAGTAATCAACTTGATCTACAAAATCGGACTGTCTTTGTTCTTTCGGAATGTGAATAACGATTCTACAGACGTGACGATTAATCCGATCGGTAGATCGTATCGTAGAACCTTACGGAACATTTTAGTCGTCGTGGTTTGTTTTTTTTCTTTTTGTTGCTTCTTATCAAGTCGTTAAAGAAAGAATTTGTCGACGTGCAATACAACGATAGGAAGTTTCTTCCGTATAGGATAACACTTGGCACTAGACGACGCGTCATCGAAAATATATGAGTCGACAATTTATTTTGTTGCTTTCAGGAACTCTGCTAGAATTTTCTCACTTGTCCAATTTGATGATGAAAGCTTCGCCAGGTGGAACGTTAAGTTCCTTGAAGAAAACATCTTGTTTCAATCTATTGGCTGGTCCTACGACGACGTGACCACCGTAATAAAGAGACGACAAATCTTTCGATTTCGACTCGTTGCCGAGATTAGCAACGAAAACGTACGAGTTTCTACGAGGATACCACCGTTCAATCACGATAATCTCATCCTTCGTGTACCTGAGGAAAGAATCAACGTAAGTTTTAACCAATTCTAATAGCAATTCATAAATGAAATTACCTAATATCACAGTTAGCAATGATTCCGTTATCCTTGGCAATAGCTTTAACGTAAATCGGCGGAGTATCGGACCTCAATTTGATCATTTCGGCGATCGTGTCGATCAGACTCGTTTCCAAAGGTTTCGAAGCTTCGGGTAACCAGGCAGTGACCCCAACCGATGTAAATTTATCATCCAATCCATCTTTCTTCTCCCAGTACATCGGTGCAAGATTATGCAAATGTGCCAAATCCTGATGATCTTCGCACTCGCAATCCAATATACCTTTCTAAATATAAAAATACTTAAGGATACTTAAGGATACTCCTACATTTGGAAACTAATTTATCATGCATTGATGAGATTTGCGTTTACCTCGTCTCCATAAAATATACTGGGTGTTCCAGGAAGCATCAGAGCCAAAAGAGAGACAGCCATCGAAGCGTTCTTGACGTTGATACTGGAAGCGATTCTTCTGAAATCAACGCCACCGATGGACCAGTGAACCCACGGATAAGATGCTTTTTCGAAAAGTATACCTTTCGTTATACTTTCCACCTGCGCTTTTATATCCTCGGTTCCATTGGATACGCGTAAAGCAACGTCGATCAGATCTATCCTCGTCAAAATGGCATTTCTCGAACTGTCAAAATGCATCGCAGCATTTAGTGCATCCAGGTGACAAATGAGTATCTTCCGAGGTCCGAGCAGGGATTTCCAATGACTTAGAATACTTGGAAAGTTGTTTTCGTGAACGTAACGTTCGAGACCCTTCAAATAAAATCCATCGACCCCTCTACCGAGCCACGTTTTAATAGCCAAACTTATCGGATGATCGTTACCTATGAGATCCGACGAAACTGGCAAAGCTCTTGGTTCTTCGAAGGGTTCTAAAGTACTGCTAACCATTGACAAAGTTTCTTGAACTTTTTGAATCGAGCCAGGTTGCGTTGACTGCAAGACTACATCCTCGAGTATCGAATCCTTGGTCAAAGCTCTTCTTTCGCGGATCACTTTGTCCGTTTTATTCGGGTTAATCATCGTTGCCATTTCCTCACCTTCGAGGGTCTTTACGTACGGATAAAGCAGTAAATCCAAGATAAGGCTCATGTTTCTACGATGTATCTCGTGTACCAATTTTTCAAAATCCTTCAACGTACCGAGATTCACGTTTATGTCTGTCATGTTGCTAACGTCCGAATAATATTCTGGATAGTGGGGTGCTGGGAAAATTGAATTCAAACGAATTCCACGAACGCCGAGTCTCTTGAGGTAATCCAGTCTCATCGTAATGCCGCGCAAATCACCGATACCATCGCCGCCCTTCGAGGAATCTTGAAAGGAAGCTGGAAAGATCTCGTAGAAGACGTTGCCTTGCCACCATTCTACCTTAGGATCGCATCTGAAAGGTATAGATAATGAATATTTAGAAAAATTGGATTAATTTTTCTTTAATTAATTGATGATAAATCCTACCTTTTGGGCATCGTCGCGAGGACACCTATAACAAGTGCGGTGCATCCAGCCAAAACCGACATCAACGACCAAAAACATGTTTTTCTTATCAGAGGCCAATTCCATTTCATAAATCGATAATCTTTCGGAGATTTTGGGACGACCAGCTGTATTCCAACGAGCGGTGGCTTCCCACCATTCTCCTGATTGTAAAACTGTAGAGTTATGGCGTGAGTATAATTTGTGATTTGTTAGAAAGCGATAAGCACTGGGTTATTAATAGACGAAACACATAAAAGTCGAATTAACAAATTATTATGAATTCGTACATACATTGTACAAGCTGTACATACATTGCTTTGCGTTTCATATGCGTATCAAGATGCTACGGACACAAAACTTCATTGCTTAATAATAAAAAGAGAGAGGGAGAGAGACTTTGATAATTGAGGCATCGCGACGACGTCCTTTCTTTCATTTCGTAAGCAAGCATTACATCCTTGGCAAATATTCAATATAATTTGGCCTATATCTCGATACGATGTGTGATATGTTCCTTCGGGCGAATCGACCGTCCCAATGGCATCGTTCAAAGCTTCTCTTTTTTTAATGGCCATCACGCTTTTTTAAATGGCCGTTAACGGTATCGTTGATCTTGCCAATGTCCCACCATATTCCTTCCATTATCGTTAATTTCTTTTACAATCTTTTCTATTTTATTAATAAATTTCTGTCACGAGCTCGAATGATCCACAGCATTATTGTATTAATAATAGACAACGCCATATGACAATCCGCTTGTAGCATGTTTTCAAGAAGACTTTTCTATTCGATCAATGGGGAAAATAAGAAGCAGGTGATCGGCGGCCAAGGCTCCAATTACAAGTGTCAATCACAAGCGAAAGATTTATAAATAACGCTAGACCGGTGTATAGCAAACGCGTCTATCTGCGTCTAGATGCGATTCATTATCGTTTTATTGGCGTGCATGTGAGATAGGACGCATCGCACATACGATACGTATGTAGAAGTGTAAGTATAACGCGTCGATGACTCTCTAACTGATCAACTGACTCTCTAACTAAACATTCCTATTTATTCGTCTCTAACCTGTTGCAAATCCATTTCGTATATATTATAAGCTTTGGTTTTTTCTTTTTGTTTATTTAAATAACTTTCCAATTTGATATTAGTAGTTGAACAGGTAGGATTGATTTCCAATCTCCATCCTTTTCTAAAAAATGTTTTTTTTGCTTTATCCCTCTTCATCGTATTCTACAATTTGTCATACTACTACTAGTTTCGTACCAAACTACGGCTGACTTTGTTAATAGTTGGAAGGAAACACACAGCTTGCTCGTCCAGAGGAAAGCCGACTAAAAAGGAGGAAAAAAGCAGGAAAAAAAGAGGCCAACAAATAACTGGAAAATAAAAATGAACGTGTCTACCGGTGAGATGTCGTCCCCACTTTGCGAATTGAATGAATAATGTCGCTGAACATAATCCAATATACATACCAATAATGTAGATTCCATTGTATATGAATGAAATAGTTTCGTTATTCGATGAGGATAACCCGCGAATATTGACAATTTAAAAAGAATAAGTATTAGTCGGGTTCGCGATGGCACACCTCAAGTTTCGACACTTGAGGAAACTCGATGCGATAAGTAACTCGATTGGCGATACTTTAATCACTTTAATTAAATACTTACTAGAGCTTGTGCGTCTGGTGCTAAATGTTGATAAGCAGTATTCAGCTGCGTGAGTAATTGAGCGCAAACCGGCTCGTTCGTATCGCTGCTGCTACCGCTTGTACTCGATTCCACCATCGGATCGCGAGAACTCGGCTCTGAAAGTTCATTCAAATATAATAATTCTATCAAATAAGTATTTACAAGACAATGTGTTCCCAATTTTCATGAAATAATAATGCTGCCGGAATTCTACTCGTACAATTATCGATACAATTAGTTTTAATTCGTTCTTATTAATTTCAATTTCTTTCAATGAATTGTTTTCTTTGACTGCATAGGAACTACTCGAGAGCGGGAGAACAAGTTCGTCAAGATTAATCGAGGTATAAATTGAAACTGGATCCTTGTGACAAGGCGCCTTGCGTTCTCTGAGTTTACGACTACACAACGATGACGACCACGTACGATTACGTAAGGTATTTACAGTCGCGCGACGACCATGTCAACCAACAACAATGCACATAGAGTCTTCCTTTCTTCCTTTTTTCCTTTCTATCATAAAGAGAGAACATGCCTCCCTTTTTTCCTTGCCTACGCAGTACCTACCATCGTGAAGAGGTTTGCACGAACTGTTAACGAGATTCATAAAAGCATTAAGTCCATCCTCTTCGTTTATGTTCTCGAGCGTAGGCGTTGTTATCATCTCCAAAGGTACTCCTTCGAGAGGCCTGTATATCGGCGCCGATTCGAGGGAATTATTAATCTGCACGGCCGGAGGTGGTGGACTCGGGGTCAAAAGTGGACAATCCGAAGCTTCCTCGTCCTATTATTAAGCTTAGTTGAGATTTCAGAGTTTGCAGAAGAGAGATAAGGCGCTATCTATATCATACAAACACACCTGTTGGTCCTGATTTATAAAGAGCTGTTGCGAGCTTGCAGAAGATGGAATTTCGGAAGGTAAAACCACCGATAGGAGCCCGTCGCTTTTCGGAATATTCATCTCTATTTATTGGCTTGAATCCTTTCTTTCTTCTACGAATGAAATGACCAATTAATCATATAGATTTGATAACTGTGCACAAGCACAGCGAAGCACTTAGAGTTTCAAAACTTTTTTGCCTATCACGGTCGAACTCGTGTGATTTAAACTGTGTGATTTACTACAAAAAAAAAAAAAAATATGCAAGCTATTTGAGAATAAAAAGATAATAACTTCGGTAATATTTGCAGTGTCATCATATTCTTTAAGTATACACGTATCTTTACTTTTAAATGTTAATCCATACGCATTATGCATACGTTTAACGTTAAATAACAAAAAAAAAAAAAAAAAAAAAAAAATAGATAGAGCTAACCCATTAAGACTATGCAATCGTTTATTCTTCGTTTCTTATTACTTTCTTTTTCTATTACGCGTTTATCTTCTTCTTTTTTAAGCGCTTGAAATATTCCGTTCCTTCGCAGGCATCAAGGAATCAATTTCGGGCAAAGATTCTCCGATTACTATCTCATTCATCGTTATATTACTATTCTATCGATCGTGTTGTGATTTGGAGTTTGTTGTGCCGCGTTCAACGAGCTCGTACTATGTAGGTATTTCCTATGCATCTTGTAATAATGCCAAAAGAACAATGCCTGTTAGAAACAAATTTAACATGTTAACTCGTCAACAAACAGTGATTACCACCTATATACCTTGTATTTATGTACATAAATACCTACGTATTTGTACGTATGTGTTCGTAAAATTGAAACGTTCAAAGACAGGCTTGATAAATTGTCTGTCAGCTGAAAGAATTGTTTCAATTTTGTGCTGAACAATTTCATTTCTACCACCCACGCGACATGACAATTTATATACGTTACATATGATCGATAAAAATCATCCAATTACTTTAATTACCGAATAATTTAACTAAATGGATCGAAACTAGATAAAGAAAAATTTGCCAAAAATAATTGCATCAGACCTAAAATGGATATGATACGCATACGGGCCAATCGATGATACTAAATCTAACGCGAAAAATTAATTACGAAAGAATATACGATCTTGAATTAAATACAAAGAAAAAAAAAAAAAACCAAAAATACGTGCTTCTATTTTCTATGATTAGACACGAGAGCGAGAAAAATGTTAGGTTGCTCGTTGTCACGCGCTCACCCACCACCCTGCTCGCATATGTATATAAATACGTACACAGAAGAAAAATACGTTCGTGATAATTTTACCCCCTTGTAATCGAATGCGAGAGAAAAAGGGAGAAGAGGGAGAGAAACAATTCACCACCGGCTTTCTCCAACCTCGGCGAGTCTTGTACGAGAACGACGAACTGCTGACGAACGTGTCCGCAAAGGTCCGGGCAAGACGACGACGACGACGACGACGACTCGTAGAAGCCCCGTGAAAGAACGATACAGTTTCGCGGACTTTTTCGACGAACCGTCCGCTCGGTCCTGGAAACCGCGTGCCTCGACGTATTATATTTAGCAACACGATTTCTCCTCTCGTTTCTCTATCCCGACATCCGCGCCCTCCTCGATTCTGCGCTCTAAGCCTTTTCCCTCGAAGCCGACGAAACTTGCCGACGAAACTTGCCGACGTAACTTGCCGACAAAACTCGATGACGAAAACAATCACCTCGTTTTCCGTCCCTTCTCATGCACTTTTTCATCCTAAATATTAATTCTCTGTCGTCTTATTCAAGTTTTCCTTATAATTTGCACAAACGAAAGTATTCAAGGAATCCTTTCATTTCTACATCTAATATTTCTACCACACATATATGTGGTGTGACCATTTGAATTTACTGCCAATGTAGCAAGAACTACTTGTTGGTAATGTGAATAATTTGTAATAATCCTTCTTCATATTGTTACGCTAGATGCCACTAAACAGTAGTTTTTTAAATTCTCTAGTTATGGCATTCTACTGCTTGATGGCGGCGCTTGTACTATTACCGGCCTTTTTTTCTAATCAACACACATTGTTTTTAATACTTTCATTGAAAATCCAGTTTAATCAGAACACTTGCAACAAATGCTATATCTATTGAAAGTATAATCCGTTTTGTAAACATTCAAAATATCTTCTTTTTGCAGGCATGATCCAAAAATAAAATTGTTTATAGCGCATGTTGATGTAATCGATGCATTTGTAACAAAATTGAAAAGGGATAATCTAAGCTATTTTATGCAAACATTTGTTCACGTCATTGTCTTCCATAGCAATTAGTTAGTTGCAACGAATAACGTATATTTGTCATACTTAACTAACTTGATGCAATATTAAACAAGTGACGTATAGCAATCTGTCACGTAGACAATTAGTCTCAGCTAATTGTAGCAAACCTATGAATGAAAGAAGAACGCGTTTCACATATTTTACTCGTACATGTTTCAAGTGTTTCATTCTCGAACGTTCATGAGATCAGCAGGCATTTTTGAGCATTATGAATCCGTGAATATCTAGGAGAGTAGGAGAGAAGGATGACGAATTCTCCTTCTCCGAATCCAAACTTGTCCTTCGCGAAGAACCTTCTAATGTATTAACCTCCACGTATTTCTTCATAAGAACGCTTTCAACGATCAAACGATGGAATGTTTCTCTTGTCGTTCATTTAAAAATCCCGCGCTTAGAATTCAAAGGAAACGTACCAATCATTTTGAAGAATCATCGGTAAAGGTGGGGGAGAAAGAGATTAGAGGAAAACGTAGAGAAATGCGCATAAATTATAAAAAAAAAAAAAAAATAATAATAATAATAACAATAATTCGATAAGAAATTTGTAATAATAATCGAAAAACTATTAGAGTAATTAATTTTGTTATTGCTTGTCTGATTTGGATTGGACCTTCCCGCTTGGTTGGGAAGATTCGCGCGCATTTATGCCTCGCCCTGTTCACGCTCCTTCCACTTACCGGTTTCCTTCATTGAGTCGGGGGAAGGAAGAAGAATGATTACGCATATACATACATACTTATATACATAGGTGTGAGAAAAGGAGAAAAGTGTAGAGCGACACGCGAGGCTTCACTTTGTTCGATACATAGAGCGCGGTCGGTCAGTCTTTAACGAAAATTTAGCTGCTTCGAACGTACTTCTTTTCAAAAGAACAATACTACCTTCGAACGGCAAACTACCTAACGAAACGGCAAAATGGTGAAATCCGTCGAACATGTTGCAAGCTCCGTAAGTTTATTTTAATATATTATTATTGATTATTTTTCCCATTTTCGAAAGAAGAAAAAAACGTGATAATGGCATAACCTTGGAAAAACGAAAGAAGCGGATGCATCTCATCGAGGCGGCAATGGTGACATACTTTGGCATGATTATATCATGCTTTTACGTGGCAGGAACTGGCCTTCGATAGATCGATCTTCAAAATGAGAAAAAAAACATGTCGTTTTGATATATTTAATTTAGCCGCAAACATGCATGTTTCATTCAATCAGCTTAATTTTAACTAATGCAATTCTTTCGTTATTTCTCCTTAAACGCTAATAATGTAATTAATAAGAATAATTATGCATCGCATCGACTAGGGGGACTGCACCACGATGACTAGTAATATTAACGTAATATTACGCGTATCTATGTCGCAAGAATTTAATCGAGATTGTTTTATGATATCATTGTTACTTGCTATGCTATCTTTTTCATTCTTAGTTCGATATCTTTTATAAACCACGTAATCACAACAAAGGTAGACTTTTAACACGTATATACATTATTTGAATGATAAATATTAATTCATCAAGTGTTTGATAACTTATCGCTAACTGATTTCTATTCAATATATCCCTCTAGCTCTGTGTAAACCCACTCGCGTTTATTGAGATAAAAAGAATTGTTTGTCTTACACTTGCAGGCAGATTTGGATGCAAAATTGGAAAAGGCTGGCAGTACTCTGGTCGTAATTGATTTTTACGCGACATGGTGCGGTCCTTGCAAAGCAATCGGACCAAAGATCGAGGAATTAGCCAAGGTACATTAATTTATCCAATAGGAAATGATTTTCCGCCTTTAACAAATGACGCCTAATAAGCGTTTATTGGTTCTAGGAAAGAGAAGACGTAATTTTCCTTAAAGTCGATGTCGAGGAATGTGAAGATATAGTTAACAAGTACGAAATAACCAACATGCCTACTTTTGTTTTTATCAAGGAAGGCAAAGTGGTATGTATAAACTTTGAAAATATATATTTAGTCATTTATATTAAGCACGATTACAGATTCTGTGTAACATTTCCCTTGTTCCAAATGTATTATTATTAATAGTCATTAACTCTTTGCGGCGGACGATTATCGGACGATTATCGGACGATTATCGGACGAGGCGTAATATAATTAAAGCTCACAGTTCGAACCTATCATAATCATCGTATCCTTTCCTCCGCAAACCTCCGGTTAATATAATTCCAATGAAATATTGCAATAATATAATTGTACATTTCAATATTCTTTGTTCTAGTTGGAAAAATTCTCTGGTGCTAATTACGATTTGTTGTTAAGCACGATCCAAACTCACAAATAAATGAAAACGAATGGTTCTTCAACGTGTTGTATTTTTAAGCTAAATAATCTATCTATGCATAGCAATGATATGCACGCACGAGTCACACAAATATTAGATCGTAATTCTGAATACTAGTCTAAAAGCAATAATATAACATCTCAAGCAATGAAATTTTGTCCGTAACACCGTTATGTTTTTTTACCGTTTATCATACCGTTTGTATATCAATTTTGCGAAATAAAGTGCACTCGGCTTACAATATGTACAAACTAAGCATGGTTTTTATGAACCTCCATAGGCGCATTGATGGAAACTTATTTGATGTAACATTAGAAAAATGTTTATATTCTTTATACAACATATACATTATTCGCGTCAAGTATTAATTATTGCGATTAAAACATTCTTAATGTATTTTTGCTAATAAAGAAAATGCTCCTGTACCCGACTTGCATGGTTGACCAAGCATCAATCGACTGGATGGCGATTTTAAATCATCTTTTTTTCCTACAAATTAAAACGCAACATGATTTATAATATTTTTTCTTTGTAATCAAATAAAAAAAGATAAAGAGAGAGAGAGAGAATGATTACCTTGCAACGTGGCATTTCGCAAAAAGTTGAGAGAACTTTCGAAACTCATTTGTTGTAAAGGAGAGGCGGAATCGTCCATTCCTTTGCGACTAAGAGGTTTAAATGTACCATCAAAAGTCATGTAATCGGCAATCAGAGACAAATGTCTAAAGTCTACCGTTATTCCATACATTTTAAATACATCTTTGACTTCTCTTATTATTACTTTATTAGCAGCTTCGATGCCATAAGTTTGCGAAATTCCATAAATGTCGTTAGAATATAATCGAGATAAATCTAAAATTTCATTGTACTTGAACATTTCCTAAAAACCAAAAAACAGACAAAATCAAATGTATCTTTTTATTATCTTTTTATTATCTTTTTATTATCGTTTTATTCGTAATATAGTATAGTATTTGTTTTACTTACTATTATATTTAATCCATCAGTTTTGAGAATAGTTTCTCCATTGGTACCTTCGATAGTAAATGCTTTCCTTATATTAGGAGTCTCCCAGAGAATGACTTTACTTGCTGCTTTTCTAATAATTGTCGGCAAATCTATCTTGATCATTTTCATTGGCAACTGTAATGGAAAATATTTGATTTTAATATAATACGCGAAACATCATATACTATCAACATATGTATTTTATAATAGCAATATCATTTATTAACCCAGAATTTGAATTTGCACCATAGCGATTTGTCTTGATCGAATTCGTATTCCAGAGCATACAAATATTTTTCCAATACATGTTGACGTCTCTTTTGTATATCCTTCGCATCATTATTTATATATTCTACATTCTCGTCATCTTCTTCTCCTTCTCCTTCTCCTTCTCCTTCTCCTTCCAACTTGCTATCTTCGTTCGATCTCTTCACATCAAGTTTTGTGTCTACGGTTTCGTTATTACCGTCCTCTTTTTCATTACCATCTTCTATTTCATTTTCCGTATCTTCCGAATCTTCTTCATATTCTTGATTTTCTTGGTGCCGGGACATTGTTCTCTTGACCGTAGCATCTGCATCTTCCGCAACTTCTTCCTCGTCGGAGGATTCGTGTTCTTCTCCAAAATCTCTCTTAATATTAGTTGTTGTTTTAGGTGTCTTTGAGGTGTCTTGATCTTCACGTTCATCTTCGTCTAATAAAGCATCTTCGTTTTTTCCTTGTTTCTTTTCTTCTTCGACGTGTATTAGATTACCGGTTAATTTAGACTTTTTCATTTCTTGAAACAATGCTTTAAAAAACATGTTTTCGGTTTTGTTAATAATACTTTCTGGATTAACGCAAAATTCACTTTTGTAACACTTATAAGGTAGAAATTCAATGTGTAACGTATGAACGAGTCTTCTATTCGGTAACTGTACCATTTCTCTATCAATTCTAATAGTTTTCAAAACATCAGTTAACATACATTTAGTCAATGTTTTGCGTAATTCATTAGATTTTTTGCTGAGATTGTGCAAACCCTTTTTGAAAGGAATTTCCATAGAAGGAGTTTTGATCATTTTCGAAGCCATCATCAAAATTTCACGCAATCGCGGAATACCCAAGGTAACATTCATTTCACTACGTCCTGAATGGTGAAATGTATTTAGCGTCATTTGAGTGGAGGGTTCTCCTATCGATTGTGCCGCTAACAAACCAACGGGCTCACCCGGTGGGCATATAGATTTCATTACTTTCATCCACAAAAGATCTCTCAATTCTTTCTTCTCGATTTTTCTTTTAGATCCAACAGATTTATTCGACATATATTCGTCCATTAAGTTTTCCAATCTTTCCGAAAGTACTCCAAATTCTGTATCTTGTCTGAATTTGGAAATTAAAGGGTCTGGACATTTGGAGCACTGTTTTTTATATAATTGTTTCGTTTCTTCGTCCATCCTTATCCATTTTCTTAACAACGACAGAGTTGCTTTACTTCTTCCACTATTTCTATCGATAAATTTAGATTTCGCGCTATTAGGATTATAATTTTCCTCGGAAAATATGCAAAATTCATTTCTTCTCGTAGTATTATTCGGCAAGATGCTACGCTTTTTTGACCATTTTTTAATTCTTTTCACAGACTTTAAAGTAGATTCATAATTGGAATTTTGTTTTAAACTTTTTACCAGATTCGGATCGACAATAACGTTTTGATTATCTATTAAGAAATCTATTTGATCTTTTTTTAAAAACGTTGAGGCGGGTATGTCGAGACCATCCTCGCCGTAATAAATTTGAATCAAGCTACCATCGGAATCTCTAACGGTAGAATCATAATTGACAACTAGACCTTCTAAATGTTTTATAAGACATCTTTGCAAGTACCCAGATCTACTAGTTTTGACTGCAGTATCGATCAAACCTTCTCTACCGGCCATGCAATGAAAAAAAAACTCTTGAGGACGTATTCCTGTCATAAAACGGCCATCAATGAATCCTCCTGCTCTTGGTGTTGGATCATAGGCAGGAAAACTTGGTAAACTTTTTCCACTTATCATTAACGGCGGTCTCTTACCTTCCAACTCTATTTGCCCGAGCAAACAGGAAATTTGCATAGTATTAACCATAGATCCTTTGGCTCCAGATTGTACCATTAATTGTAAATTATTGTGGGGAAACTTTTTCAAAAGCCCTGCTGGTAAGCACGTTTTGTTAATATTATTAGTATAAACATCTAGTACATTCTTGTATTTTCGATCGACTTGAGTACGAAATTTAGGATCAGCCCAATAAGATTCTTCTATTTTAGACGATAATACTTCTGAAGGCGTATCAGCCGGCATTTCCAATAAACTCTTTTGTACTTCTTCTCCTAACGTTCTACTTTGCAAAATAATTTCTTTACGTTTCATATCTGCTTTTGATACAACTAAAATATCTTCTATACCGAGAGTAAATCCTTCTCGTTGTAAAAATGCTTGAAAAAGTTTACCAAATGCGCTTAACAATTTACTAGAATATGATCCTCCGTATAATTCGTAAACGCAATGTACCAGACCATATGGTGTTGCACCATAATGCATTTTATCAAGTACGCCACAAAGAAGTTCGCCATTCCTTATAATGACTTCTGCTTCTGACATTTGTTCAGAATTTGTAAATTCCCTACCGCATTTCCATGGGCGAGCTTTATTAGTTTGCCATTGTTTACCATTAATTTTTGCTGTTGAGTTTAAATTAATCCTTGCAGTATTCGGGGGAATAATATTAATAAGAACAGTTGATATTATTTGCTTGCCTGACCATAATGGGACAGGTTTCAAAATGCTTGGTGGTAACAATTGCAAATCTCCTTTATGTCCAACTAATCCGCAATAAACTAATTGCATGTAATCGGTTCGATTAAAAAACTGACCTCTCATCGTTAAACGAACCCCAGAAATCACGTGATCTTGTATAAGCCCACTCAAAGGAGTACCATCTTTTGGTACAAGATATTGATTAGATACATTCGCGATTAAGTAACCTTCGCTTCTTGCAAGTTCATTTTGCGGAAAGTGCGCATTCATTTCGTCTCCATCAAAATCTGCATTAAAACTTTTACAGTTAGCATAATGAAGACGTAACGTTTTTTCCCCTTTTAAAATGCGTGCCTTGTGAGCCATAATACTTGATTTATGTAATGTTGGTTGACGGTTGATCAAAAGTATATCACCATTTTGAAGATGTCTATGAACGACTTTAATACCTTTAAAGAATCTATTAGCTTTATCGCTGCTCGGCAAAAGACGTTTTGCGACAGCTTCTCTCTTAGTTATGTCAATAGGACTAAGACGTTGAACAGTTCCATCTTCGTTTTCTATTGTAACTGCTCCTGGAAAAACATTTGGTCCATTTAAAACCAACTTTCGCAATTCCAATACATTCCAGGGTGTCACGGGAACAGGATAAGTCAATTTAAGAGCAAAAATTTCCGGAACGCCGATTTCATCGATATCTAAGTTTGGATCAGGTGTAATAACGGTACGTGCCGCGTAGTTAACTCTTTTTCCCATCATGTGCATTCTTATGATACCTTCCTTTTTCTCAATAACTTGTTTCAATCCAAGACAATTAGCGGATTCTGAAGTTTTATTCAATTCTCTATCCATTAAATGATCTACATTTGTTTGCAAACTTTGCCACGCGTAGTGCAACTTTTCTACAGCTGTACTACCCTTTATTTGATCATAAACCATTTTTCCTTCTTCTGGAAGTAGATTAGTATTATCATGCTGAATATATTGTATGATGTTCCGAAGAATAAGACAGTCTTGTATGATACTTTTGTATACTTGACTCTGAGGATGTTCGATCATTTGTCCATGAAGAAAGTTTACGGGTCTTACTATGGGTGGTAAAACGGGTATTACGTCAAAAAAAAATATATCCGTCGCGTACTCCTCTTTAACATTACTTAAACAAGGAATAATCATTTTAATAAAATCTTCCTCATTTTGCCATAACTTTCTCAAGTATTCTTTTGATTGATCGGGCATTATAATGACATTTTCCAATTTATATACTACATTATTTGACATCATATCAGTCGAAGTAAAAGCACCATCGCTGATTTTAGTGGTCATAATTTTATTTTTTAAAGCTGTTATTTTTGGTATAGCTTCGTGACAATTTATGCAAATTTTTCCAACGGTATATTTTTTTAGTATGCTATCAATGTACAAATGCCGCTGAGCGATAACATTTTTTGTATTCAAGAGAGTTTCGTTCGACTGACCGTTAGATACATATTTTTTTTTATTAACAAGATTTCGTATGTAATTTTCTATTATATCTTGAATATATACCAGATCGGATTCAGGTATATTTTGTGACTTTGATGTAACTGAATTTATTTCTTCTTCCAAACTGTCTATATCGCTGAGTAAACCCATTTCTAGGATCTTTAGTTTTGCGCATAGTAACATCTTTATATGCGTTGGGATTTGTAAAGTAAAACAGTTCAGGCAAGATAATTTGATCAACATAAATAACGGTTTATGAAATAATGGATTGACAGTAGGCATCGGTAATTCTATATGACCAAAATGACCAGGACATTTGTATACCGTAGAACCACATGTTGCACAAGGATCTGAACTTTCAAGCAAAGGTCCTGAAATTAGATAAAAGATAATGTAGTAGTAAAAAAAAACAGCAAAAAGGAAATGATACAGATTATTTATAGAATGTGAAATTACCTAATGCTGGATCATATAAACCACCTTTTAACGGATGACCCAATATATTGAATGACAGAGGAGTTCGAATTTTCATAACACTCAACTGTTCTATTTCTTTTGTTGTAAAAAATGAAAATGTTAAATATTTTGGATCCAAATGTTTTGGAGTCAAACGTTTTTCCTGATATTTCTGCATTTTAAAAAGAAATTATTTATTATAGGTTATAAACACTTTGTTTTCAACTAGCACATGGTTCGTTCAACTCTACAGTCTACTCTAAGGTCCCATCCACAACGATGCACACGTAACTCCATCTAACTTGAAGTATGCACAGCTTACGATATATCGATAGCTTACGATCGTAACGTATCGATAGTGCATGCAGATTGAATCATACGAAAATCGATAAGTTGAAATGATTTAATCGTCGCATTAACACGGATGACAGATGTAACACTAATATTTTTCTACTGTTATCATTGATAATTTAGTAATATTTCGACGAGTTTCCACTTTGGTCAATATTTTCTTTATATTCAGAGGAATATTTCAATATGTTTGGTAAAAAGAAAGAGCCAAAAAGGCAGCCTAGGTCTGGAAATCTTGAACAGGTTAATTTCACTAATAATATTTATATATATATATATATATGAGTATGTACCTATTTATAATTCACTTGATTTTTATTAATAATACTATTTTCATTTGAAGTATGGAATATTCCAAGTACCTGATCATTTTGACAATCTTGGACAATCTGTAGAAGATGAAGATGACGAGGATTTGGAAGCAGAGTTGGCTGCCTTAACAAGTAACAGTACTGTAGCGCGAAAACAAAAGCCTAAAAGTAAGATTTTAATATTCCTTTATTGTTCATATTAACTTTTAACCGTCAATATATTTGATATGAAATCATTATAATAGTTCAGAGGATAGATTCATCCGATTTAAACGCAATGGTATCTGAAAGTGTAAAAGATATAGATGAGGATGTGTCCGACGGGGAAGATGATCCAGATTTATTGGTATGTATAATTATATACAACTATTTGTTCAATACAAAGTAACGCGCGTGGCCTGACGTTTTATTAGCACAATTATGTGCAAGAACTTTTTCGCAATAGGAAGAACTCAATATGATTACCAAGAATGAGGCGGTTGTATCGGATGAAGAAGTACATCCCGAAGATGAAATTCCTGAAACTAGTCTTGACAAGGCAAATGATAGTCCTACAGATGAGAAATTACAATTATTGCAAGAAAGATTAACTCTTTATCAAAAAGCTGAGAAGAAAGCAAAACAACAAAATGAAACTAGTAAAGCTAGGAGATTTGGTAGAGGAGTTAAGACGTTACAACAACTTTTAAAGGATGCTCAGTCGGGTATCGCTATAAACGAAGCCGATATTCCACCTCCTTTACCTCCTTCGGCTACTTCTGAACCCACAGAACAACCTACAGGTATTATTTGACTTATTATTACATTTTCTATCTGTAAAAAATCTACTAATTGTTATTTCTATATCTGTTATAGACAACGATGTATCCTCTGCAATGCCAGAAGAGAATCCTTCACCACCTAGTTCTGAAAATGATGCTCCACCAGCTGCTCCACCAGCTGCTCCACCAGCTGCTCCAACTGTTCAGATCGATCAGGAAGCGTTAACTTTGTTAAAGAAACGACAGCAGGAGTATAAGGTTGCTGCACTTGCATGGAAAAAAGCTGGTAATATGCAAGAGGCTATGCAATATGTCAAAATTGCTAAACAATTTGATATAGTTATTGCGGCAATTAATGCTGGAGAAGCGATTGATTTATCCGATATGCCACCTACGCCAATTGGGCCTTCTGCATCCGCCGTAAATCCAGCGTCACCATCGGTTGAAAAAGAAGACGTAGAAATTCAACAACACGCCGAACCAGAAGATACATCAACTTCAAATAAAATGGACGAAGCAATGGAACAAAGACATGGAATAGAAGATATAGAAAGCGCTCTCAAAGAGCGTCTTGAAGTATACAAACAAACGAAAGCAGCTGCAGAAAGTGAAGGAAATTCTTCTAAAGCTCGAAGATATGGTCGTATTTGCAAGCAGTTCGAGGAAGCACTTAAAAATCACGCACGTGGAAGACCTGTGCCTCTAGATGAACTTCCTACTCCACCAGGGTTTCCACCACTTTCTACAAGTACTCAAGCTGCTGCAGAAGGAGCGAAAGAAGATGACAAATCTAAATCAGAATCTAATTTGGAAGGAACATCCGAAACAGGTGTGCCAAGTCCACCTCTAAGAACAAATAAAGGTATTTGTCTATAAATATATTTAATTGTTTGCTTTGAAATATTTACGCGGAAACGAGCACCTCCATTGAAAATAATTAGACATTCGCGAAAAGAACTGGAAGATTTCTTTTTCTTCCTCAATGTTTAATTATTATTATATATATTTCTTCTTTCAAGTAGTAAATAAAAATCAAAAGCACACCACACGGGCAGATAAACAGATGATACAGTTGCAGCAACGTCAACACGAATTAAAACAGGCCGCGTTAAAAGCCAAAAAAGATGGAGATTTAGAATTGGCGCGCGATTATTTAAGACAAGCGAAAGGAATAGAGCCATTGATTCAAGCTAGTATAGCTGGTTTACCAGTCGATATGAATTCTATACCTTTGTCACCGGTTGCTAAAATGGAACTTAGTGCGCACGGTTTAACGGGTCAAACAGATGAAAATTTTCAATTGATCAATAGCGAAGATTGTTTGGAGGAATCTGGTGGAAGCGATGAACAAATTTACGATAACTTGGAGAATCAATTAATTAAACAAATAAAAGTATATACCTATTCGAATTCCTATTCCAATTAATATTGAAAAATAGATTCGAAGTAGAAATATTTACAAGTTCTTATTTCAGTGGTGCCTTTCTACGAGAGATCATTCAAAGCAATTGGGAGACGTACCGGGATATAACAGATGGGAACGGCTCGCCCTAGGATATACTCGAGATTTGGATATGTTACGCGTTAGAAGACGCGATTCCTTACCGCCTCCGTTGCATCACTATGAAACTAAAACTTATGCGATAGTTCAGTTAGTACGAGAAATGAATTTCCATTCTGAGAAAACTAAAACACCTGAAATATAACAATTATATTCACTTTATAGGAGTTGTACAGACTTGAACGATAGCGATGTTGAGATATCGATAATCAGAGGTATCAATTACGCGCGAGAAGCAGATACTTATGTTATGTTTGAGTTTCCTTATCCTTCGGAGAATCCCCCTGCAGACAGAACATCGACGATTAAAGGTACTTGCAATCCAGAGTATCAAGCTGTCTTCCCAATAACAGGAATTCTGGATCGCAGCTCACGACAATGCCAACGGTCATTCAAACGACATGCTCTCAAGTGTCAAGTCTGGGCAAAAGGGTAAAGTTAATATTATTTCCTCTTGCAATTTTATTATAATATTAGCGTGTTTAATAATTTACTAGCTATCATTTGCAGCTCCTAATTAAGTAAACATTTTCCACTGTTTAGAAATAAATATTTCCTACCCATCTCTCTACCCATAGTTTTCTCTCTCCCCAATTTGTTAATCTTCTATAATGTTTTTTCTTCAACATTGATTAAAACTTGATAACACGAAATCTTGGATGCCGAGAATATTTCAAGATACTTTTTAGTCGTATTAGATTATTATAGTAAATGGAATAGGACGTTGCTTACAGATGCTCGCTGAACCCCATCCTGTGTTGCACTCATCCAAGGTATGAAGTTTTCGTGCTAAAAAGAAATACAGATTTATTTTTATTTTGTTTTCAATGTGACTTATACATATAAGCGGCTTTTAAAGTATAATTGTTCTTATAGTGCTTTAAAATAAGTGCCTAATTCAATCAATTCGATGCAATTTTTAAATATCTCACGAAAAACTTGAAAATATTTCACATCGCGTAAATTTGATTGTCAAGTGATTTGCTACATTGACAGTGATTCGATTAAAGATCTAATTCTTATTTTGAATAACGAAGAAAAAAACAGACTTTCACTTAAAAATATTCTCTGTCTTTCGTATGCTGCACAAGATTTTCTAACGTGAGTGTCTTCATGAGCAAGCTGTAGCAACGTTAAGACTGTAGTAATGCTGTATTTTTCGAACGATTAAAATCTTCCTTCTAATTGAATTTATACGTTTGTATCGTTATAGAGGATTTTTCAGAAGCGACAGTTTGTTGGGTACCGTGACAGTAAAATTGAATCCGCTCGAGATGAAATGCGTTTTACATGACTCATTTCCAGTAAGTTATGTAATAATAACATAGGATCCTAAGAATAATATTATGACCGCTACTTTATTTTATAACACGATGGCTCTTTGTGACAGTTAATGGAGGGAAGGAAGCCAACAGGAGGAAAGCTCGAATTGAAGATACGTCTTAGAAATCCGATTCTCGCCAAACAGATAGAACAAATAACTGACAAATGGTTGATCCTCGATAATTGATGCACTTTCGTTTCTTTCGTAAGAAACCTAAATGTACTATTCGTATGTAATTTGGCAAGATACGTCATGTGTTTCTTCTACACAAATGCAGAACACGATTCTCTCAGTCAACGATATTATTTATCTCGCAAGCGAACATGTAAATGTGTAATTAATCGATTATCTATCTTAAGTTAGGAATATATATACAGATATGCCTTCTAAAATGAAATTTCTTTAACGGAGATAACGGCACGTAAAGAGAGGAAGAGAGAGAGAGAGAGATAGAGAACCGATCATAGAGATTTTGTTATCTTTGCGCAAGCGTTCGTATTCGCCTAATTCTTCTACGCAGCTAAGTGCATAAATCGGTTGCATCCGTGCTTCGTATTCTTATGAGCGCAGACAGAGTACCATATTTGTATCATATTTTAGTTATCATAAGCTACTCGTATCATTTTAAGAAATAGATAAGATGAAAATTGAATAAACAATTTTATAAATATTATTCCGAATATTTTCAATAAAACCTGTAAACGATGAAAATAATTTCCTTATCCTTTGGAAGTTGAAAAGTTACGGAGCCTAAGACGAGAAGGGCTAAATGCTCCTCACCTTGTAACTCGTTAGGCTTGGAAAGAATTAGAAAGCACATGTGCATCGTTTGATTTACTCGATTGGAGAAGAAACGATTCGCGGGATTAAAGCTGAATAGACATTTTGCAGAGAACAATACATCCAGGTGAATCTCCACTAACAAACTCTATTGTCCGGTAATCGTTCGACTCTG